TTCGCAATTTACTTTACAGGTAATTAACACTTTTCGAAGGGGATTAATTGAGAAAAAGTAAACCAGCATCGATGTGGGTAATATTGTTGCATAAACATTCAGGGCTGTAGGAGAGTAACGATGCAAATCGTTGTAATAATCACGATGCACGTCAGGGCGTAAAGCGGGACATGGGTAACGAGGAGGACCTTGGCCCCCTACTCGTGTAACGATAAGTATTCGCGTAACGATAGGTACTCGCGTATTAGTCATGCGCATAAAATTTAACAAATCGTTCATTTTAGTCCGATCGTTTGTAGAGATTCTGTTTGAGAAAATATACGCATTTGTAACATTTGAAAAGAATCGCATGCAAAAGACTTTTTTTTTATTCTTCCTGAAAGAAATAACGTTTTTTTCTTTTTTTCATATAATTCGTAGACACGTGAATTTTAAAGAATTTTAAAGAATATCAAATACTATGAATATTTCTTTACAAGTTTCGTCAATGCAAATTTTGATTTTGCATTATTAAGAATGCTAATCTAACCTACCTTTCATAAATTTTATATGAATTTTTGCTTTTGTATTATTAAGATATTAAGATATAATTATGCAATTAATTATTTTCCACAATCTTATCTTCAAACTTAATTTAATTTAATCTAGTTTTTTCTTTGTCTATAAATTTTTGTTTTGTATTATTTTCTTGAAATAAAATAATTATGCAGTTTAATGATTTTCCCAATTTTATCTATAAATATAACCTAATTTTCTTTTTAAATTATGAATTTTAATTTAATTTATATTAAATTATAAATCAATTTAAAAAAAACATAAAGATAAAAACTTTTTTATAAAAATGAATGAAAAGTTCTTTTAAATTTTCCTGATTGGTTTCTTCTTATGTTGAAACTTAAAAGCTTTAAAAAAAAAGGAGTAATCAAATAGTCAAAATTGAAAAGTCCATGTATAATTATTTAAAATAGATATTCAGATAATTTATAATTTATAATAATATTTATACTTTTTCAATTTTTTAGAAATACTATATGTAAATATAATGTTCTTCTCTAGTAGCAGAAGCATGAATATTCAAATTTTTGTTTTGAATAAGTATATGAAATTAATGTCGTATTTTTATGCTTAACTTTATGTTTGAAAGTGAAATTAAACTTTGAAATAAGACTAACTAATAAAAAAATTGATTTTACAAATTATTTTACTATATTTTAGTTTAATTTTTTCTAAATTATTAGAATATCTTCCAAGCTTTTACAAGAGATTGCAGAATTATAATTATAATTTTTCCTAAGATCTTCTTATCTATTCTCTTTATTTTTCTATTATATCAAATAGCTTTCTGTCAAAGTCAAAATTTTCAATATTTTACATATATATAAAATTTTAAATTTAGAATAGAAACCAATAATAAATATATTAATAATAAAACAACGATTGAATTAAATTTGAAAACCTTTTAAAGATAACAAAATTTTAATTTTAATAAAAGAAGATTTAAATAAAAGAATATTCAAATATCCAAATAAAATTCTCCAAGTAAAATTCCAAATAATATGAATACAAATCAATTAACAATTCAATTGAATCTGAAGATATTTTGAAAAAAAAAACAAGTTTCCAATCTCAATTAAAACAATATAAAAATTCGAGTATTAACACAAATAATAAAAAATTGAAAGAAAATTTCATTTCAAACAAACCACATCACAAGTAATCAAATTCGTTCGTAGATCTGGCATAAGGGGGGCCGCGTATCAATCCTGCATGCAGTCATTCGAAACGATGGTTGCGACAACGTGAGGACCCTCTTCGCGCTCGAAATTCTCCGGAAGTGAGGAACAAATTGCGGATGGCCAAAGAGTCGCCTTCATTCGTAGGCCAAACGAGGGAGGTCGATTAAGGTTTCGAGTTGATGATCGAAGATGAGCCAGGTCAATTCTGGCAATTGTAACACCCATGTAACATCGTTATTTCATTGATGGTTGCCAATTTCCTAATTGACACACGATATGGCCCTTTCCTCGTCACGTTTCTTCAATCGTAGATATAGTGGAACGGTGTGGTAATCGTTACGATGGTAACGTTCAATTAAATAGATAGTTTGTATCGGTCACGAATAGTATTAACTATATGACAGAATGACATTCGCGTGATGTACATTCATTTTGTAACATGTTAAAAGAACGTCGAAACGGCAAACTTTTAATTCGTGATCTGAAATAGGTATTGAACTCATCAATCAAAGTGTGGTTGGATAATTATTGCGTAAATTTGTTTCCAAGTTGAAGGACAACATTGTGTCTTCAACAATGTATTTTCATGGATATTTATATGTTAATGTTATAAATAAAAGAATATCTATATTTTATAATTATTATTAAATATAATAGAATATATAAATAGAAGTTATGGTTAGAATATTTCTATAAGACAGAATATTTATTAAATGGATTGTATTTGAACGTTCTGAAAATATATATTTTATGAAAAAAATATATATAGTACTCATTACTAATAAGTTAAAAGAATTTCATTTTTTTAATTATGTATTATAATTTTAAAAAAATTATTGTATTGTTAAATTTTTCAATAATAGATATTATTAAATAAAAATCACAATTTATGTTTCTATTTCATAAAATATTTCATAAAATAATCGGATTTAAACCTGTCTTAATAAACTTCTTCAGCTCTTAAGTATTATTGTTAAGAAATGTTACAGATATTTCATAATTTTATTTTCAATATATGATAGTTTTATTTAAAGGAAACATTTGACTTGAAAATTTTAGAATAATTTAAAAGTATTTTTTAATTTTTCTTTTTCCATTGAGATTTAAAAAAAAGTTGATTGTTAACAATCTTCTTAGACAAGTAGTTAAAAAAAATGAAAGAAAAATGTTAATCAAAACATGAAACAAGATAATCTTTATCGCATTAATCTAACTCCTTACTTACTATGAATTTCTGATAGCAATTTTTATTTTATTTACCTATTTAGAATTTTTCATTACATGGAAACTTTCTTATTTTTTATATCACAATGCAATTTTTATCTTATAATCTTTGATTAATTACCGTTTCTTAGTACTTTTCAATAAACTTTTTTTCATATTTTTAAAAGTGATTATAAGCAATGATTTATACAAGTAAGTACTTAAACAATTTAATTAATTCACTTTTTCTTTATAATTTTTTTTAAAAGAATCATCGATTGTCCATTAATCAAGAATATAATTTTCATGTAACATCTATCTCTTCGAGACTTTTACATGCGTTTCTGAATGGATATGATGAAAAATATCACCTTCTTGTTATCCGTTTTCTCTTAGAGTACAATGATTTCGCACAGTAAACAACAAGCAACAATGGTATACCACGATTATCTTGATCCACGTAAATGGAGTACAAGATGTAGGATTAATTATGTATGGGCGCCTGACAACATGCTGCATTAAGTTAATCAGCATCTAAAAGACTTCCCAGTCTTACGATTCAATATTATATGCCGGGTTTTCTCATCGCTTTAAGTCTAATGCCCCCAGACACCGAGGCCATTGTACAGTCTTCAACGTGAACATGTGCATGTCGAGTGTGTTTTAATTCCGCAATTATTATTAAATATGTGAACAAGTTGATAGAAACAATGTTTGATGTAGTTGATGAAAATAACGGTTGTTCCCTTTTTTTTCAATAATAAATGCATGAAGAAAAAAAAACGATATTCTTCAACGTATCAATATTATTACTTGAAAGTTTGAGATTGTTTCTAATTTTGCGATTTATGAAAGAAAACGAAATGAAAAATAATTTTAGTTTACTATTTTTTTACTTTTAATATTGTTATATACTTATTGTGATATCAATTATATGATTATGTGAACTAAAAAATCGTTAGATTTAAATTAATGATTTTAAATATTTATAAATTATTAATTGTAAATATTTATTTATATATTATATATAATATGTATTTTATATTATTTTATCAGAAAAATTAGATTATTTCATATGAAAAGCATTATTTAAAGTTTTTAAATATAATTTCTACTTTTGCAATATAATATTTCATTTTTGTTTATTAAATATAATTTTAAAATTTTAATATACCATAAATATTATAATATTTTTATATAAGCTTTCTATATGAAATAATTTAATTTTTTTTGATAAAATAATATAATACGTGTTTATGTATAATATATAAATAAATATTAAATTAATAATTACAATCTAATAATTTTGTAGTTAAATGTAATAGTATAAAAATTACATTAAAAAGCATACCTATTTTTCACTTAAAAAATTGTTTTTTCTTAATAAATATACTCTTCCAAAAACGTAGTGTATATAATATTTAAAATATGATATAAATAAAAAAATAAATGTATAGTCACATATATATTATACACAATAATGCATTTTGTTTTAATATTGACTTTATCGACAAGTATTTACTATCTTTTAGACAAGCGTTATATTATCTTTGTATATTTATCTAATTCCGAATCTTTATTTTCATTAAAAAAAACATTTTAGTATATTAACGTTAAACAATTAATCGAGAAATTCTCACTCAAACAATTCGATAAATTATTATTCCATACATATCATAATAATATCTGTATTCTTTATGACAAACTGTCATATCAACATGCAGTTCCTCTTTACCATTCAAACCTCTCAAAACAATCTATACATCCACTTTTAACAAGGAAATAAACATACTTTCCAACATAAATAAATAAACAAATTCTCCACGTGCAGAAATAATTTTCTTAAATTTCCTCGTTACATAACTTATTTGGTAAAAAAGATACAAGAAAAATAGATCGAAACGGCTTAAACAGATTACGGAAATAATTTTCCGACATATTCCACCAAGATGGCGAAACTTGTGTTCCACCAATGAGCTTCGTAGTGCTCCAGTGTCGGAGCTTGCTCTCGAAAATAGAATTACGTAGAGAATCGCGCGCAATAATGAATATAACACCAACCTGTTCGCTGCATGACGTCGTCATCCTGCTGCAATTTGCTGCCGGTGTCGTCCTTGTTCGAATTCACTTGTACATCCGTCATCTTCCCGGTTGACGACTCTCACGATTCGTTCTTGTTAGGGCGAGGATACTTGTTTATCGCGGTCGATTTCCACGCACTACTTGTCACGCCGTTGTACGCGCGTCGCGGCGGGAATCGGTCGGAAATATAACGAGAGGAGATGCTGCGCGATTCACTGCCAATTCACAAAGTGGAAGACGAAACGCGCGACACTTGCGACGCGTTTGAACTGACTGGCTCGACCGCCAGCTTTCCGGGATCACCCGAAGACCCCACGCCTCGCTGCCGGAAATTGCCGAGCGTTTACGAACCTCTTCACGATTCTCAGGTGCTTCGTGTCGTGTCGCGAACAACGGCTAGACGTTGATTGCGGTTTATGTATCGCGCATTCACCCTTCTGCTGAATAGAGCGATACCAGAATTGGGGAAATTTTGAAATGGAACAAATATTGAAATATTTTTATAAGTAAATAACATTTTTTTTAAAAATTTCATTTAATGTTTAAATTACGGATAAATATTCATGATTGAATTTGACATAAGCGAAATATTTATTTTTAATATTTATATTTAATATAAAACGTGAACATCGAAGCACTTTTTTTTATCTCTTAAACATAGAAAATAAATTGAGTTTTTATATGCACTGTATGTACAATAATTAAAAATATATTGAAATTAAAAATTACTTATTTAAACTTACTATTACACCATGAAATATTATTTTTTATATTTCATTGAAATATTTATTTTAAAATATTATTTATATTAAAATATATAATGTTAATTGTTCTTAGACGATGTTAGCCACTGAAACAAATATAAATATTAAGCACAGAAAAATATCAATTGAAATTTATTCGTCAAATTATTTTATACTTCATGAAACTAAAAAAGAAATAGAATGAAAAAACTTGATAAAATTTTTTCGCATATATATTTTTTTTTGTGTTTACAATAAACTTTCTAAAAATCGTTTATGAATTTTAACACTAATTTTAATACATATTTGAAATATTATATCTTTAGATCTAATATCTGTAGATATTATTGGAAAAATTTATTTGTAAAAATTTTGAATCATTGAAAAAATCCATTTTTATTTATTCAATTCAGAAATTAATATTTTTGATTCTATACTTTTAATTTGATGATTTCATTTTTCTGATTTTATGGGAAATAAATACTTTTCTCTAACAATTTTATTAATTTTTATTCAATTTTTACGATTTATTAAATACAATATATATTGTATAAAAATAAATATTTGAAATTTATATAATTTGAATAAATCTGAATCATATATTTATATTACATAATAAATAAATAAATTAAAGTTTATATTTTTTTAATAAAAAGTAATAATATGAGCATGCATTTTACTTGTTGACTAAAAAATGTACAACTTAATGAAATTTCTTATTAAAATCTTAATAATATATCTATCTTTTATAACTTCAAAAAATTACAATTTCATTGATATTTTCCTATGATTTTAAAATTTAAAAAATTCAGAAATGAACTAATACTAATGAAATTTAAAAATAACTTTGATTTAAGAAAAAAGAATTTGTGTTCAATGACTGATTTTTTCAAATCAACTATTTTTCACTCAAATGAAATAAAATATCTAGGTTATATTTGATTCTTATACATTCTTTAATGATCTGAAATTATGCAAGTTTCTCTCTTTTTCTGAAGATTTTCAATTGTATGCAATAGCTTAATTTTCTTTCATCTGTACTTCACTTGACAAATATTTTGTGTTATCAAATATTCATAATATTCAAATTTTTATCAAAATCATATTTCTTCTTACATTTATCAATATTCATGTATATATAAATTTCTAATCCTATTATAAATATTTTTAAGTAATTTCTACAAACTGCATTTATTGATATAAAGCTAATAAAGACCCAATTGGAAATATTTAAACAAAACAACTGATAAATTATTATAAATATTTTAAAATAATTAATAGAAAATTAAAAGAAATAATGAAAAATAAATAATAAAGTAGTACATGAAATTTTATATTTCCTAAAATATTCAAGGAATAGAATGAATGAAATTACACCAATGCTACCTGATAATAAGATTCACCTAATTTGTTAATCAATTTGATAATCTAAAGATTATCATATTATTCATGTAAAGACTGAGAGACACTCTGGATTTGTACAAAACGTTTCTATGATTTTATTTACATTATTTAGTTAATAACATCATCCCAACATTTGAAGCAGGTCGAAACATATGACGTAGATGTGTTACAGATCGGCAAGTAATAATATTTCAAATTCCTCTCTGAAGATTGTACAAAGGACATAATTTATTAAATCAACCGACAAGAAATAAAATAATATCAATATAATATTTCTTCATACTCGGTATCCTAGATTTGCCATACATGTATTAAAATATCATATATCGTATTTTATTATAAATACATATATATTACAACAATATTATATATATTATATATATATATATTTATTCAATTGAATAAAACAATTAATTAACTTTGTACGTCTTTTGATTAATGTTTCGCATCATATTCCTAATTATATTTATTTTTCTGTTGAAGGAATTAGAATTTTACAAAACATTGCGACAAAACGTTTTTTAAATTAATTATTTGACTTCGTTTTGCGCGAAATATATGAGAAATGGCGCTTAGACACGCCACGAGATATTTTTAATAGGGGATAAACAATTATGATGAGTATGATGGGTGAACATGTCCCTTCTTGAGATGGAGACTGCCGATGGGCGAGTACCAACGTTATGATTGAAGTGTTGTTGCTTCACTAGTCCTCTTCTCTATCGCATAATCTACGAAGGAATGCTAGAAACGAAAAAAGAACTATATTAACACATTGCTACGAGAAGAGCTATATATATTATGGTCCACTGTTGTACCAATCGAACTTGATGCTATAATACACGAATATAAGCTGAATATAATACAAGCGATAGTTTAACCCTCGTGTCAATCTTTGATTAGCTTTTTTAATTAAAATTAAAAATCCGTTATCTTCCTATTCTCTTGAAACATTTTTAAATCGTACGCGAATAAAAAATATTTGTGTATATAAAAGTAAGATAAGGATTGTATTTTGAATTTTGTCAAAAATTCCTATCAAGAATGTATATTCTGTATTATTAGAAAATTATTAAATTCAAAAAATTTAATAATATCTATTATTTTTGGCTATTGACATAAGGGTTGTTGTGCAAATCATGATGTCATATTAAACTATATACATTTGCATTTTATAGTTCCATTTTCCAGAAAATATTAAGCTTGATATAAGTTCTGTAGATAAAGTTCGGATATATTGCGAAAATAATATACGTTTGGGAACTTCATCATTCATTAATATTAATGAAAAGCATCTAATTCAAATTGGAAATAAATACTTTTATTTTTAGAAATAATATAGATAATTAATATATACATATATATTGTAATAATGTTATTATAAAGAAACGCATGATTTAAATTGCGTTTTTTTTTGAAATCCGTGACATGAATATGTAAAAAATTATTTAAATATTAAATATAATTCTGTAACAATATGTATAATAAATTCGAAATTAATTATATCTATATTTTATTATCATATACTAAATTATGAAATCTATTTATTGCAATTATTTATTTCTTATTAATTCTATTTATTGCAATTATTAGTTTCTGTATTTTAAATTCAATTTCAATTTTTATATTTATAATAAAAATTTGAGATATTATGTAATTAAGTAATTTATATATAGGTAGTAATATAATAAAAGTTTTTAAATATTGAGAAAAAAAATTGAAACTATCGATTTATATAAAATTCCTAGTTCGAATGAATCGAAACTTTTTTTATTTTTTTGTAACATCTAAACAAATTTTGATTTCTGAATTTTTTCAAACTGAGATTTAAATCGTCAATTTTTAATGACAATCGACTTGCAAAAAATTAAATTTTTATATTTTATTTAAACTATAATATGATAATAGATAAAATCTTACCAGTTATAATGATCATTCAAACTTATATAATGATCATCAAAAATCATCGATTAAATAAAAAGACAATTTCAAAATTCAAAAATTGCAAAAAATTTCAAAGAATTTTAAGATTTCAATCTTTTCAATGCTTCTAAAATCGATCAAAAAAGATTAATTTTTCAAGACGATAAAAAAAAAAAAGAAAGAAATGACACGACAGCAATTTTTTATTCTCATAATCGACGAACAACTTCAGAAAAACGATTAAAGACGATCGTTTTCTGAAACCTTTGTCAACGACACTCTCGAGTCACGGATCTCGTGCATGAATATATCTTAAGCTTTTGTATACGTGTCGCTGTATGAGAAGCAGGTTATCGATTTCAGCATCCCTGCTACATAGATTCGTTGCGTCCTATAAACTGTGATATATGCGTGGTGAAACAGAAAACGAAGAGAATATGTGTGTTAATACTTGTGTATAAACATATATAAAGGCAAAAACATAGTCAAAAAAGAAAAGAAAAAATGAAAGAATAAGGAGAGAAAAGACAGAGAAAGAGAGAGAGAGAAAGAGAAAAGCATACATAGGAAATGTACACTACAGGATGCTACTTACGAAGGATGATCTTTGTGACATTGACATCCTGTTTGCTTACAATAGCACCATCATCTTCTTCAAGAACGCTGTAGAACACAAAACACGTGGAAATGTTAAATGATAGGGGAGAGGGGTGAATTAGGGTCCGATCAAGTCCTCTGATTTCCTGGGCATTTTGGGCGGCTGTATAAAAGTATATTCTACGGGACTAAGCTGCTGAACACCGTACAAAGGGGGCAAGGGGGGGAAAGGGGGGACAATTTTTTGTTTACACTTTCTACTACTGTAACATCAAAGTCTACTGGTTGAAGTCGAATTGCTAACAAAATGCATGAACAGTATATCTGAAAAATAATGGGATTTTCTTTTTACGCTTCGAAGCGCCATCTATCTAATGCTCATGAAATTTTTTAGGTTATATCTTCGTATATTTTATATTTTTCATAAATGGAAAACTGCATTGTTATATATAGTGATTGAAATGATTTTAAAAATATATTTCGTTGCAAAATGTGTAATAAAATAATGTTTTGTTGATAATTATTTGATTATTGAAATATAGAAAAATTTAAGTAATGATTAAAAGATGTGAAAAAAGGAATATTGTTTAATTTAATACAAATAATTAATTTTATATTACACGTGATAATTTTATAAGAAAATTTATCTAATTTAATATTTATAATCTAATAAGTAATAATAAATCAATATTTTATTTCGATTGAAAGATGTTTTAAGACTTTTGGATTTTTAATCCAAGAAAGAAATAATAGTACTTGTATTCGATTTACGAATTAGAACATCGATTATTTAAGATTTGTTATTCAAATTTGATTGTTCAAACATGGAATGAATATTCTATCATAATATTATATTCTAAAAATTAATTTATTTTCTGTAATGCATTTCTCTTATTAACTTCATGTATTTTTCTATGTAATAAACATATTTGATCCAGCACAATAATTCTAATTTCCAAAAACTAAAAACTATAAATGAAAAGAAATCATAATATTCCAATGAAATTTAAAAATTTTTATCAGACTTTTAGAAATTTCTTGAATGGTCCAATAGTCATAGTGCCAAAAAAATAGTGAATCGAACGAAATGAATAATTTTTTATGAATGTTATGAACATTTGAATTTTTGCATACATTGCCAGTTCCATTACTTTTCAGACATGCAGTGTATTTTTATTGCTCGCTGCTGCTTCTCTTTAATCTAGCAATGCTCTACATTAATGTGACTCACTGATGCAGCTCGTGTAACACGCTTTGTTTCTTCCTCTATTTCGCGAGATGCATGTGTTCCTTGGAATGGATCGATACTTACGGGTATAGGGGATAAAACCATCCTCGTCTTCTGGGTCCATACAATCCTTCAGTACTTCTTCTACCTCTGCGTCGGACAGTTTTTCACCTGATTCACAATTATACGTATTTATACAAAATACAAAAAATTTATTTTTCTGAAATTATAATTGTATGTTATTTCATATTTTATATTGGAATTTAATGAAAATGATTTTTATTTTTTATTTCTAGGTGCAACGTCTACTTTTCGAAAAGATCTCGAATTTCGAATTCTTTTGATATTTTTATTTTTAATACGAAACACGAACAAGAAATGATTTGTATAAATAATTTAGAGAATGTTTTGATGATACGAATTCACTTTTATCTAACTAATGATAAGTTAATTGTGTTTGTATTTAAGAAATTTGATTTGATATATTTAAATTAATATAATTGTCACGATTATTATTATTATTCCAAAAATAAAAATTTATTAAGGTTTTAATTCTTAAATAAAATATTATTCCTTAAGAAAAAAATAAAAAAGAAAAAGATATGCATTTATAGATTCCAAAATTTCTACACGTCAATTTACCTCCAATTCCAAAATTAAAAATTTATTTAAATTTTACTCTTTGACGAAATAATCTTCTAATCTTAGAAAAAAAAAATCTTCTAGAATTTCAAGTATTTCGAGATAAAATTTTCCGACTTACATGACTGCAGAAATTAGATTTCAATTTCTACCTCTAATATTTTTCAGTATAAATACAAATAGAATAATATATAGCGCAATATAATAATAGAATAAGTAGGAATAATTATATTACCAAGTGCAAGCAGTGTATGTGACAATTCAGCGCCAAGCATAGTTCCATTCTCCTGTTTGTCGTATAATTTCAAACACTCCACAAAGTCCTCGTAGCACCCCTGATCCTTGTCCTTTTTGCACTGGCTGTAGATTGGTAAAAATTCGTCGAGCTTCATCAATTTTTCACCCTTCTTTTTCGTTCCTCCAAGTTTCTCGATAGTGGCGTTTGTAGGATTCAGATTCAAGGCACGAAGGACGTTACCAAGGTCAATGGCGTCGATGACGTTGGTGCCATCGGCATCATAAATGGAGAAGGCGAATTCTGCCTCTATTTAATAATAAAAAAAAAAAAAGTAAGAAAGAATACGTTATATTATATTATTAGTTATACCTATAAATTATGTTATATTATATTTATATTGTTAAATAGAAATAATTTGTTTCGAATAATGAAAAAATCATTTGTAAGATTGATAAAGATAAAAATTGATAAGATAAAAATCATATTGTAAAATTTTAAAATGAATAATATAACTTTAATAAATAAAGAATTATTATGGAAGGAAATGAATAATTACGAATATTTTAATTTTAGAATAATATTACATTATTTTGGAATAAGATAATTAATGATATATATATATATATATATATATATATATATATATATATATATATACGTATGCAATAGAGTTATATCAATAATTATCTATGGAAAAAGAAATTTCAAAAAATAATTTGAAAATATATAATGCATATGCGATTATTCAAGGTTTTGAATATGTAACTTTTTTTTATCAATACCTAGAATTTTATTTTTTAATAATAAAATTTTAAAATTATTACATAAATTGATGACAAATATGTGAAATAATGATTCAATTTGAGATTTGAGAATTATTCTCCGCCAAGATTATAAAACTTTTAAACTTTATTTTAAAAGATATTTAAATATAGAAATCTAAGAAATAAAAATGTTTATTAAATAATCTTGTAGAAATGAAAATTTTTCTTTCAAGAAACGTCGAAATTTAATATTTTTATCGAATCAAACTTCACATTTTAAAGTAAAATTTATTTCACCCTCACCATTTCTTCCTTTTCAAAAATACATAACAGAATAATTTTTCTTTCTTCAAAAACGATGAATTAAAAACTCCATAACCTCTCTTTTTGCATGATAAGATAAACATTGGTGAGTAAACAAGATCCATTACTGGTGACTCGTTTCAAATCATTTTACGCGAAAAAAAAAGGGGGAAAAGAAAACAATTTATTTTTACGGTTTGTCCATTTGAAAGGATTAAAAAAAAAATATCAAATCGCGAATTTAGACGAGATACGTGTACACTACGTAAAATCTGGGTTAATATCAGCATGGCTCCTTCGTGCGTATCTGGTTCAAAAATATTATTCTATTTTGAGACGCCAGCGGCTCCCACCCAGCAACCAATTCAAGAAGTTGCTGGTGGAAGTAGTGGGTCAGATTACCCCCGCCGAGCCATATAAGAGCACGGCATTAACTATTTTTGAAATCACGCTTCCCCTTCTGGGGGTGATTATACCTCTGTTTTACCGAATACTTACGTAACACTTGCCACGAGGCATTACTATTTACATTTAGAAAACGTGTTACATATCCAAAAATATATAGATTTAAAAAATGAATGTGAATCTCTCTCTCTCTCTCTCTCTCTCTCTCTCTCTATATATATATATATATATATATATATATATATGCTATTCTATAAAATTCGATTCAAAAAATTATTAAATTTTCTAAATTTTGTAATCGAGTTTTATACTGTTTAAAAATTTGAAAATTTGAAAATTTTATTCGACAATGATGATCAATTTCATTTCAAAATTTATTTCACTTTTATCTCAATTACTCGTCAATTTTTATCTCTAATGGAATTATTTGTAACATTCGATAAATATCAAACAATTTTCTCATAATTTTATTGTTATTATAATTATAATAAGGAAAAAGATTATTAATAGATTATAATTATTTATAAATATTCATATCAAGTTCTCTCTTTCACAATTTTACATTCTTGGTTCATCTTAACTCCTCTGCATTTCCGGACGAATATTATTATCCAATGTATGTTATTAATACGTTTATCCAATATTATTGATTATTCATATTCACGCAAAAAATTATTCGAAAACGCATAAAATAAAATTTATTAATGTCAGGAAGTTCGATTTAAAAATACTGGAGGATTTTAATTCTGCAATATTCGCAGGATATAAATACGAATTTTAAACGTTTCTCGATTCTTTTTTTAAAGAACGTATTGAACATAAAATGAGTATAATATATTTTTACTGCGAGGAGTTTAACTTCCTTGAACAAAAATATCACGATCGTGAATCTACGATAATACTTTATATCTTTCGTAGAACCTTTTTACACGAGCACGTTTTTTCTTTGATCTTTAACTTTTATTTCTCTCGCGACATTTAAATCCCATCTCCGTGGAAAATTTCCCTCACTTCCGGTTACACACGAAACGACTCGCAATATTCACTCGACAATTCACTGGTTATCTTAAGAAAAAAAAAAAAAAAAAGAAAACGTTACGATTTTACAGTCCTTTGTTCTCTGAAATTCTTTTTTATTTTTTCGCACAGATTAGATCAAACACACAAATCAATTACTTCCCATATACGTTTTACTCACTTTCGACTTCCTTGGCGCTGAGATCTGCCTGCAAATTCAAAAGAGAAACATTTTTTATCGAAAAAATACAGGAAAAAAAAAAAATAAAAAGATACTTTTAAAATTAACCACCACGCAAATGTACAAATATTTGAAACCTACTGAAAATTATTCGAATATAAATACGATAAATAATAAATAATTTCTTCCGCGTAAAGATTTACATTTACAAAATATAAAGAGAAAAATATTCCAAACAAATTTAAGGATATATTTTTATGGGGAAAAATTTTTCAAATTCTCAGGTCGCACATATCGAGTGATTGGACGAGAAAATCGGCAAGCTCACCATGTTTCTAGTCTAGTCTGGCCAAGATGTTAATCGTACGGAGCGTGAACCAGAAGTGGTATCGGGTGTTACCAAATTTATTCATTTTATTTCTGTAGATGGCGCGGTTGTCAGGACACACGAGAATTAACAGAGAGATCTGGCCGAGGAGGGTTTGGAGAAGGAGGGTGTATCGGCAACACCGCGGTCCAAAAACAGTTCGAGAAGCTTAACGCGGGTTCAAAGCTGCGCTTCCTGCTACGATAAATGGTTTTCAGCCGGTGGCGTACGCGTGTCAGGGCTGCCAGATCTGCGACACGGGTTATAGGCGAAGAGAAACGAAAATATACATACCTGATGGCCTTCGATTCCGTGCACCTATCGTGCACGGCCCTTAAACTCGGCCAATTTCCGCATTTCTATTTCTTATCAAATTGAAATTGAATCGTTTTCTTTCGATGGAGTTGAAATTGGCCTCATTTGGTGAAATTTTATTCGGGTCAATCCGTGAGTTACTATGTTTTTACAAAGTATTTTATGGTGAAATTTTCAAAACTTACTAAATCATTTATGAGTTTATAAGCGATGAAAAACGAAATATATACACATCTTAAATTCGATTCTTGTTTTCGTATTTTTTTATCTTTTTTATCACATTGAAATTAGTCCATTTGTACGATCGAATTGTTAGCGGAATTCTGAGTAGTGTGAATGTACTTAGTACGGTGAAATTTTAGAAATTATTCGTTATTTGATGGGATATATTACGTTACATAACAATGGTAAAGAAGTATTGAAATGAAGAGGAAGAAAAATGGAATGTCCTATTTAAAATGATACACTTGAATATCGTGGAAATTAATGATATTGGGAAATATTTTAGATAAAAATTTGAATATTTAGAAGGTTCAGAAATATGAACTCTTAATATTTGATTCTTTGTAAACGAGTTATGTAATTAAAAAATTCCTTTATTATCCAAATTTCCAAAGTTGGCAAATCAATTAAATAATTGATTTATCAATTAAAAATTTAGACAAGAAAGAGATTCTCGAATGGTTAATTTCCATTTTCCAGAAAATATGACTTATATTGGTTTCCATTGGCTTCTGAATTCTTCATCTAGGAAACTTACTTCACGAAAAACTACAAATTCATCATTTGTGTCAACGAAAAATTTCTTTTTAACCATTCAAATAATTTAATTTTTTTCCAAATATTTTTCAATATCGTTCATAGATTTCGAGATATTCTAGTTCAAAGCAGGACACTTTGTATACGTAAAAATAAATTTTATGCATCATACGTATATTACCTTGTCAATACACTTACTATTAACAATATCAATAAGTAAAGGTTCCCGGTGTTATAAATTTTCTTCCACAATTACTTTCAACTGTTTAACAATCCATTTGATATAAACACTGAGAAGCCAAATTGGTCAAATTCCATTTCTTTCTTTCTTTTTTTTTTTTTTCGAAAATTCTTTCGGAATTCAATCTCATTTATATCCTTTTATATTCAAACATTAAATCAACAACGATGAGATTAATCAATTTAGCCTCTTAGATCCACCAAGTTTTCGTTGTTATCAGATACAATTACGATTCGAATTAAATAAAAAAAAACTGGTAAAATGACACAGAATCCCATACTCAACTTAACCTTTCGTTCAAAATTAAAATAAACTTTATTGTTTACCAAAAAAAAAAAAAAAAAAAAAAAAAAAAAAAAANAAAAAAAAAAAAAAAAAAAAAAAAAAAAAAAAAAAAAAGACTGCGTTATATAAAAATTTGTAAGCTACATCTTTTCCTCCACGGTGTCCTTAGGAACGCGTGGAATTTATTTCACGTCTTATATTCATATATATATATATACATACATGAATATAAATATATATATATATAACTCGGTAAGAGGTTAAGCGTGCGTAGACTACGCTGCACGCGTGGCCAATTGATGACTAAACTAGGGAGTTTATATTTAAATCGGCTCGGGGAGCGCGTTTCGCGTTTTAAAAAAAAAAATTATAGGTTTACAAATTCGTTCGTGTGTGTGTATATGTGTGTACATGTATGTATGCGTGTGTGTACGTATGTGCGTGTATATATAATGTGTGTATATGTGTTTTTTATTTTTTTCCAGACGTTGCTGCTTTTTCATATTCCGTTCCATCGAGAGAGAGGGGGGGGGGAGAAGGAGGAGGGAAGAGGGTGGTGAAAAAAAAAAAACTGGACAACTCGGCCATCCCCGAAAAATCATTTCTTTCGACGTCCGAAAATCGTGCGGAACAGCTTCCTCGTTCTGCTCAGGATACCCTTCTTCTTCAATTCCTCGGATTGCGTCTCGTTGTGGGTAAGACTCTTCGTCTTCCCGGACGGGCGTTGCTCCACGTCTGGGGGCAGGGGAGAGGAAGTGATATCCTCGATGGCCACCTCCTCCAAAGAGGAGTTCTTTGGGAACGGCGTCGAGGAACCGACAAAGGACGATGCTAGCCCGTCGTAAGCGAAGTCGCAAACGTCCGTCCTGCTCTCGGGGATCGATTCAACGTAATTCTGATCCGGGTCGTCGATACTCTCTATGGTCCTTATGAATTGCTCCTCGGACTCCTCCCAAACCTCGATCTTCTCCTTGTTCACGGCCGGCTCGGGCTCTTCGTTCTCCTGCTCCTTGCCCCGCTCCCCCATCCTCGACTCGAGCTCCTCGATCATTCGATATATCAGGCTGGTGGACACCCTCGTCGCCTCGGAACTGTCGGTCACCTTTTCAAGGCGGGCGCAGGTCGGGTCCGCCGCCATCTCGATCACCGCGTCGTGGATTATCTGGTGCACGTCGCCCTGGCCCTGGGTCGAATGCGTCTCCACGGGGGTGGCGGGCTCCGTGTATATGATATTGTCGATGTTGTGCACGATGTGTTTCACCTGGATCCACAAATTGTATTAATTGGGGATTGTTGAGGGATAAAAGAAAGGATGAAAGGGTGGGGGATTGGATGATTGGCAATCTATTTTCGGGAATTCTAATAATTTAGCAATTGGATATTAATAATCATTAATTTTTTTTTTAAGAAATGCAATAATGGATCTGACATATGTATATATATAATTTATCATGGATCTTTTATTTTATAATTAGGGCAGTTAATGATAATGATTTTGATTAGATTTCTTAGAATTCGAACGAGGATATTAAATATTTTATATATATATATACATTATTAGAGATTAACAAAATAAACTTCGATATTATTTTCATTTACCTGTTTCTCTAATTTAGATAGGTGTAAAGGCATAGGAGTCGAATCTCCGATTTGCAGATTGTGTAAACCGCATACCATCTTCTCTATTATCTCCGCATTTTCCGTCTCGTTTCGATCTGTACACAAAAGATCCTGCATTTGTTGCGCAGCCTGCGATTGGGTATCGGTCGTTTCTTGTCGATTATCCGGCATTTGTAATTTTTCTGGCAACGTTATTTTTTTTCGTTGATTGCAATTTGTCAAAATTAATGCGAATTCCTGTCTACGCGAATAACATACTTATATTTCCTTTAAATAAGCTTAAAAATAAATATGGAATCATTTTACACACACACACACATACACATACGTTTTGTTAACAACGATATAAAACAAAAATTATTTTCAAATCGAAAGCTCGCTTATTAAAACTTTTAAAAGAAAAAAGTATAGTTATTTTTATATTAACAATTAAAAGATTGGAATTTTTGAATCGTGTCATTTATTGCAATAAATGGGATATATGTAATAGTTACTAGATTGCGGATTTTTATATAAATAATATTTCTAACATGTTATCGTATTAATTGATATTCGATGTTATATATATATGTTACATATCGATTTAAAAATATAACTTAAAAAAATATACTTTTTTCATCTGGGAAAAAAATTTTTTGTATATATAAGAAGCTCACAGGAATATTTTCAATATTTTAAATACTGAAGATAAGAGAAATCTGCAGTGATAATACAGAAAGTAATAAGATGTAATTAGATCAAATTTAAAATTTAAATATTAGATATATATACATACATACAGATGTGAAAATGTTATTTTTCAATCTACAAGTTAATTTTTTCAAACATACGATATCGATTTACCAAGCAGGAAACCTTGAAAAAATTATTGTCATATATCATTATAATATAAATTATGAGAGATGTACACAATAAAATTATTAATATTTCACAAACGTATAAATAATATATAAATAATATATATATGTATATACACACGTATATATACCAATCGCATATATCCTACATAATGTCACATATTAGTTGAACGTTTGAACACGTTTCAGTTGTGTAAAAAAATTCACAATCTAGCATTGTGCAAATTGACAGAACCTAAATAAAACAAAATTCAACGAAATGTCCTATTTACATCGGACAATAACAACTGCTCACCTTCATTCGTATCAACCACATCGAAAGCTTCTAACATTATCTTGTCAATTAAACTTTTTGCGAAAGCTTCGACCATAATTTGAGGCATTATCAAATCGACAAAGAACTGAAATCGGTAGCTGTTAACGGTTGCGATCGTCACGTTTTACACGAGCATGGCAAATACGCATGCACTTGAATTTTGCCAATTGTGCGTTCGTACTGTTTTTGAATTTCACACTTTATTCGATCAACGTATCTATTAAATTGATCAACAAATAAGTTTAAATATGAACTGAGAATACGAAATTTACGTAGGGTTATCGATACCCTAAAGTGAACTCGTAAAATGTCTGCTCGTGTCCAGGAAAATGTCAGAAGATGGTGAACAAATTATATTTTCAAGGTGTCGCCCATTCACTTCATGGAAACTGATTATACGCAACGTATTGTACAACTTTGAATATAATAATTTTATTAATTAAAAATTTTTAAAATCGTATCAATCAATATCTTGTTAATAGACCTAACCTATACAATATTAATGTTAATATTTTTATTATACGATAGAATTGTTATTGCAACTCCTCGTTGATTTTTAAATTAAATTCAATTCGAAGCCAGAATATTGCTGAATAAATAAAATTATACGGAATTAAAAAAGGAAATCGGATAAATATTAATGATTATTATTATTAGTAGATTTAACCTAAAAAAAAGCGTTGAAATAAAAATTTTATTACAACAGAATCGTCGACTGAACGTTCAACGTTGAATCAAGGATAGAATATTAAATAAATAAATGAAGGTTATGAAAAGAGGATTAGAGAAGTTTGTGCAAAATTATAAAAGAAAATTCATAGATATTAATTAGAGTTAATCTATAAAATAATAAAATAAAATTTTTATCATAAGACAAGTGTTGACAGTCTCTCAATGTTAAATAAATTAAAAATCAGATATTAACGAACAAGCAAATATTTATAGACATTAATGATCAATGATCAATTATTGATCAATTATTAACAGATTATTAATCTGTATATAATAAACGAAATATTAAAATATAAAAAAACTTTTATTATAACAGGATTGTGAATAATCGTGAAAATCGAATCGAATATCGAATATTAACGAATAACATTAATAATATTGACATAATAATTGATCAACAGATAATTAATCTACTAAAATAAAATTTTTATATTGAAATAAAATTGCCTAAACTTAATTTCGTATCGAATTCAAAAACCGTAAAGAATACCGACATATAAATAAACGAAAATTCATTTATTTTAACGAGAATTGATAATAATAATAATCGATAGAACGCTGCAAAATTACTAAAATAAAATTTTTATTTGCAACAGAATTACCGATATAACCTCAAATTGTGTCAAACCCCGTCAAAGGTAAAATAATCGACATATAATAAACGATCGAAGATTTGCTTAACGCGATAAATTTGCAAAACGCGAAATTTCCAATAAGCGATAAAAATGGAATCAATATTAATATTAACAATCTACAAACTAGATAAAAAAATGTCAGTCTATTCCAGGTTGAAGTACCTTCAATATCATCGTACCGTACAAGTATCGAGAAACTGAAGAAGCTATCGTATCCATTAGATATGGATCAAAATAAGTACATAGAAGTAAGAATCTTCGAACCTGTTGCAGAAATTCCTACTTCCGACACTGCCCACGAATATTCCATAAAAACGTTGAGCACGATTCACGAGTGCGATAGCGCGAAGGTTGCACACGTGCAAAGAAATTTGAAATCTAACGTCAGAAATTCCCCGTTCTCTAAACAGAGGGCGGACTCGATCCGCGCCGACGGCCCCCTCGACATCGATCTTCTATTGCGTTATTACGCGTGCAACTCGGACATGGAGAAGTCGATAAACAAAGTTTTCGGGGAGATAGACCAGCACGTGAGCAAGGACGTCGATCAGGGCGGGCCTCTGGTCGAGTTGGCCGCCGTTTACAAAATTTGCGACTCGTTGAAAAACTCGTCCAAAAGTTCCTTGGTGTCCACGTTTAGATATCTCGATGTTCTCGCCAAGTTGCAGTCTTTGGTACGTGAACGTACGCCTGCGTGTGCGTGTATGCGTGCGTGTGTGCGTGAAGCAAGGATAAATTTAATCGTATTTCAAATAATATATATATATACATATATTTTTAGAAAATTCCTTTCCTAATTCCTTCGCAATTTTTCGAAATATAAATATAAATAAAAATTCTTTCTGAAGAAAAGAAATAAAATATTCTCAATTTTCCGCAGGTGCGTCGATGCAGCAACGAGAGATTGGACCACCTTCTATCGACGGATCCAACGTTGAAAATGTGCAGGCATTGCGGCGTTGTCAGTTGCACGAATCCTAAAAGCACGTTCATCGAGCAACGGATATCCCCCCTTCCCACCTCCTACTTCTTGAGCACGCAAATGTTCTCCGACATACCGAGCAGCGGGGACGACGACTTCAGGAAACATCATCAAATGGGCAGAGGTCCGAACAAGGAGCAAGCTCGGTTCGGGAAATATTATAACGTGCAGAGGAAGGATAACCGTTTCTCGCGAAAGGAGAGGATGGTTGAGAACGGCGGCGGGAAGGCTTACGGTTCGAGGGAGGTGAGTTTGAGGGTTAAACGGGAGAACAATTACCATTTGGCCGCGCCTCAACGCGTCGAGACCATGGTGGCCGAGCGGGAGAACGAGGACACGACGCAGGAGGGCAGCAACGACGGGGAGGGTCCTCCGTCGCAGAGCGCGAGGGCGAAGAATTCGTTCAAAGTGATCTCGAAGCCGATGTGCAACGGCTCCAACGTGGAAAGCAAGGAGAAGTCTAGGGGTAGCAAGTTCTACGCCGACGTTCAACCGGCGAGCAAGAAGTCGGATTGGAGGGCGAAGGACGACATGAACGGGAACGAGTGCAACGAGAAGATTCTAAGGGACATCGTGTACGAGACCCCGAAAACCGAGTTGGGGGAGGAGGAGGTGGTTGAGAATCGGTCGTCGTTGATGAGCGAGAAGCGGAACGAATCGGCGACCACGAAAATTGTTCACGGAGCGAATTCGTCCGGCAACGTGATGGCGTATTTGGCACGGGGCCGTCTCGAATCGATGGACGGCAGAGAGAATGAATCCGTTTCGAAATCGGGTGAAAGAGCGTGCGTTCACCACGCTAGATACACGACCAACGAGAGGAGTTTCGTGTTGCACAACAACCGCGATCGGAATTCGGAATTTTTGATCCGCGAGAGATTGGTACCCAGGGACAAGATGGCGAGAAGTTACGAGAAGAAAATGATTAGGCTGGAGCCCATGCAGAATTTGAAACAATTCAGGAGCGCCACGTGTCTGATGGAGGACGACTCGTTGGAAAATTGCGAGCACCGGGACGAGATCCAGGTCGGGCAGGGGAACGAGAGCAACACCTCGATGGTGAGCTCCTCCTCGGCCGAGAACATGATCCGGGAATGGGTGAAAGCGCCCCTCCAGAGGATCCAAGACGGAAGGTACAACAACAAAAGCTCGGACACCTCGAAACCGTCCGTGATCGACTCGAAGGAGGGAAGACGATTTTGGACCAAGGAGAAGTCGGTTCACTGCGGGGATGGTTGGGCCGAGGAGAGGCGGAACCAATTGGAGAATAAAAACGCGGACGAGATAGAGAAGAGATCGTCTTCGAAGAACAAGTACTCGAACAGGCAGATTATATCGAGCATAGTGGGTGGCTTCAAATTGTGGAGCAGCAAAGAATCGATAAGCAACAAGACGAGCGAGAAAGGGGAGAGGCCGGAGGGTAGGAAGAGCGAGAAACGTTTCGGCAAACATTTGTTCGAATCGTTCAAAACTTTCAAATCGTTGAGATCGGTGAGATCGAAGAACAGCAGCGAGAACAAATCCTCGTCCGCCACCTGCTCGTTGTCGGATCGCGTAGGTAACGTGACGCGAAAGATCATATACAACGAGTCCTCGTTGAAGAACGTGATAGACAAGAATGGGAATTACGGGAACAAAATGGAGGACGTGTTGCTGTTGTACAGAAAGGTGTTGGAGAGCACGGAGGAGATGGATTGGCGGAGTTTCCAGAGATTCGTGGAGAACTTGCACCCGAGCAAGAGGAATCTTTGGAGGGATATTTGCAAGATCATTGACGAGAAATTGGAGGTGACGAGGGGGGACGACAAGAGCGCGGAGATATGCATAGAGATCACGTCCACCCCTTTCGAGGAAGGGAAGAGGAAGGAGAGGAAGGAGGGGAGCTCGAACGAGATCGTGTTCGAGATGGACATAACACTCGGGGACATGGAGAGGTGTCTTGGTAGGCAACTGTCCTCCACCGAGGAAGAACAGCTTGACACCCTTAAGGAGCCCAGTCAAGTTATTCAAGTTCGAAACGGCGAGGTTTGTGATATTGAAGAGGACTCTAATCAAGCTGAATAAGCGGTCTTCGCTTTTCAATTTTTCGCCCGTATTATATAATTCTGATTATCGTCCTCTTCTTTTCATCCTTCCTTTCGTACTCCCTTATACTTCCTGTCTATATTCCATCATCCCTATATTCTTTCATTTTTCCAGCATCGTTGGTAGATAAACATCGCAAAATTATTTGTAAATAATTGTTATTGCAAAATTGAGAAATTTCGCTTTTTCTTATTATATATGTATATAATGTATAAAAATGAGATTGTACTTTTGGAGAATTTGAAATATAAAAAAAGTTATGCAATTTCTGCGTCTCATTTCGAGCGATTGCCTTTCGAATCGTTCGAAAATTTTCAATGTTCGATTTTGTGATTTTATTCTATTCGTTCTAAAATATATAATTCAATAGCAAATGATGATTTAGCCGTATTGGAAATAAAGAGGAGGTAAGAGTTTAAACATAAAAGTTAACTCTTTCAAAATTAATGAGATAACACGTTAAAATTATACATATTATATTATTTGCAAAATTAATCTCAGGTAAGTAATTTTTATTGTTATTATTATTTTTATTGTCATTTACATGTCATCTACCATTTTTCTTCATCGTTTATTAGTAATGTAAAACTTCAAGGATTTACATTTTTATAAATTCAAAAATATCAGATCCAGATTTTAACTATTAGATTTATTAGATTCAAATATTATCTTGCAAAGTTAAATCAGTTAATTAAAAGCGATTAAAAAGATGGATTAGATATATTCAAAGAAAGGAAAAATGTACATATAAAATTACAAATATCTCCTCAATTTCTATCTCATTCTTGGAAAGTTAGATGACACAAAAAATGGCAAAAATATTTATTTGACTCCATATCCCCTTCTTTTTCTTATTACGTTGACAAGAAAGATACATCGATTGATCGCAGAACCTCGAAAGCCTCTTCATGAATGGAAACTTATGGAAAATATTATTTTATTATTAAATATATTATTTTTTTTTATAAAAAATAAGCTATCCACAAAAAAACCAGATCGAATTATCCAAAATAGAAAAGGTGGATTAGCTTGAATAAGAGAAAGTACCTACAATTGTAAAAATCTATCAATATTTCCTTAATTCCTATACATATACATATACAAAGAAAAGAATTATATACATTCTTCTTTTCCTTGTTGCAAAGTGAAGAAAAGATTTCATAAATGGGCTAGATAGATGTAAATAGAAATACAATAAATTATAAATTATAAAAAAATCTATCAATCCCTCTCTCTTTTATGCCAATTTATCTTCTTAAATCCAAAATAGATAAGATGGGATTGATTACAAGAAAATATATAAAATTATTGTAAAAATCTATCAATTCCTTTACATACATACATACATACATATATATATATATATATATATACAAAGAAAAGAATTATATATATTCTTCTCTTTATATATATATATATATATATACAAAGAAAAGAATTATATATATTCTTCTCTTTTTTGTTGCAAAGTGAAGAAGATTTCATAGATGGGCTAGATAAATATAAATAGCAATACAACAAATTATAAATTATAAAAGAATCTATCAATCCCTCTCTCTTTTATCCCAATTTATCTCTCTTTTTAAATCCAAAACAGAAAAGATAGATTATTTACTTGAATAGAAGAAAATATATAAAATTATTATAAAAATCTCTCAATTCGTACATGTATATATACAAAAGAAAGAATTATATATATTCTTCTCTTTCTTGTTGCAAGTGAAGAAGATTTCGTAGATGGAATAAATAAATGTAAATAGCAATACGACAAATTATAAATTATAAAAGAATCTATCAATCCCTCTCTCACAAAACAAAAAAGATAGATTATCCTATTTAAATAAAAAAAACTATACAAAACTGTTACAAAAATCTATCAATATTCTGTCAATCCCTCTTTCTCTCATATCTCTTTTATATCTTTTCAAATCGGTTAACCGTAGACGGAAAAAGTTGGTTAATCCAAATAACTGCGCGTACAAAATTACCATGAAAAATTTATCAATTATCCCCTCCTCCCCTCTTTCCCTCTCCCTCTTCTTCTTTCCAAGTCACCTTCGCAAAAGCGGATCGGTGGATCGCGGAAGAGGCTCGACGGATGCAAGGTGTGTTAGGCGGGTAAGCGGTGGGTTGGCAAGGTGCGCGGAGAGGGGTGTTGGTCTCCCCCGGCAGAAAGTAGGGGTGGTCCAGCGAGCAGATTCCTGGGCTGATCGATGGAACGACCGGCGCATTGGATTTTCCAAGAGTAGCGCGCGCATTCCCATCCTTTCCCAACAGCGTTACATCCACATCCACCTTTGTGTCTCTCCTCAGTCACTCACGATCCTGGCGCGGTGGTGCATCCGCCTTTACCCGGTGAGCGGCGGCACAGGGCCTGGAAGCAACGAGAGCAATTGTGTCACTAGGCCGTGTGCGTGTGGCCACGTGATTTCCTTTCGTTGCACGGTGCTGCTCTCCCCATCTCCGCAACACCAATCGTGCCAGATCCGGCCAGATCCCTCCAATCCCTCCTCGTGGAGAGGATCTTCGATAGTGCGCGATATCTTTCTTGGCGATTTCTTCCTCTTCCCCTACCCTTCCTCCCTCGTAAAGGTGTGTGCTCGCTATACCAACCCCCGCTATTGCTTCTTTATATCTCGAATACACGTAGGTGCGTAGCAACGAAGCAGCAAACGTAGCGGCTCTCGAAACGGTGGGTGAGAAAGAGTGGATTCGGAGGATGATCGAGGTGGCTCGAAATTTATTCTGTAATTTTTTTCTTCTTTTCTTCCTTCTTCTTTTTCGAAGAGGAAGAGAAGCGAAAGAATTTGGAATTCGTTCGATGATTTTGGTTACGGTGATAGTTTATTTTATTTTATTATTAATTATTTTATTTTGGTTATATTTTGGTGTTTGTTGCAAACGTTCATTGGTTTGGTTGAGTGATCGATTTTATCCTATTATATTCTATCAGTCTCTATTCGGCGCGATAAAAGCAATTTCTTTTTTGCGCATAATAGGCCACGATCGTGAAAAGGTTTCCACGTGTTTGATCGCGTATTAGCGACCAAGAATCTGACAACAACTGTGGAACTGGTATATTTTTTTTTTATCTGCAAGTTCAATCTGTTCACCGTTCGTTTAATTTCCATTCTGTCTTCCATTCCGCGCACGAATAATAAATGAATTCGAAATTGAATTGAATGACTTAAATGTGTTTGGATCGGAGAAATAGTAATTATTTTATACCCGAGGTGTTTGCGTAACAATTTTCTATTATAATTATGATAATTGTCTTTTTATTAATTTATTAATCGCGTAATAATTCTTTGGTCGAATGATTGGCAAGTAGACGCTTTTTCCTAATAAATTATAACAATTTTATTTTTGAATTCTATTTTTCATTACGAATCACTCTTTAAAATTATTCATTCTATTAGATATTTATATATATTTATATATTACGAGTAAAATTTGAATATATAAAAATTTACAATTTACAAAATGAGAAACAAAAAATTTGAGGAATAAATTTTAATTTAATTCTTCGTTCAACTATCATAATTTAAACGAAATAATTTCCTTCTTTCGAATTCCATTTCTATCGATCCGATCAAAGCTGGAATAAAAAAAAAGATTCGAGACACTTGGGTGGCGAACGACACTCCCTTAATTGATTTATATGCGATGACAGGGTGAGCCTAACGTGCGTTTAGAGTAACACGAAAAGAACGGCTGATGTCGCTGGGAAGTGAACGGGAGAGTATTTGCTATTCTCAGGTGAGGGCACGTGGCTTCTCGACGATACTATACGAAACTGGATCTCATCCTGCTAATGATAAATTTATGAAAAAAATGATGAAATGATTTTAGACGTTTCTACCGAAAACATGCACAAACGTCGATCCCTCGATGGAAACATACAGGAACAGGCTTTGCCCATCCCTGTTCAGATGTTCCTTTGGAGACAGTTGAGGTACTTATAAGAGTAAATTTAATTTATTATTTTTACCTTTGTGCGTAGATATCTCACGATTACAAAAAAATTTCACGTGTTCCTTGTTAGAAAATTGCTATTGCGTAAAAAAAATAATCGGATACGATAAACAGAGAAGAATCGTAATTTGTAATTTTATAAATTATCCACAGAAGGATGTATGGAACGTTAACGCGTCGATTTATAGCCGAATATCGAGTTATAAATATAAAGAGGATTCTTTAGTTGTGTAAGAAGTGGTATTTCTTTCCGATTGCTTAATTCATTGAGTATAAATTTATGACTGATATCATATACTATATAATTATACATACTATATGTATAATTATCGAGTAAAAAATGATTCTATTAAAGTCTACCAATTAAAATCGAATCTATTAATGATATATAACATATATAACGTGAATGCACATAACATAAGATTTATAATAAGTAATTTTAATCATTATTTAAATTGTTTCTTGATTCAATAATTTTATTTATCATTCATTTACCAAATAGTTTTAGCAGTTAACGAGAAAAATATCCGAATATTTGTAAACAGTAGCGTTTATTTTGTCTATAAAAAAATTATTTACAAAAATTTAATAATAAATGATCATCAACGAAATACCAACGATTTCATAACGTATACGTTTAATGTGATTGATTAAATGTTATACAACATCATTCGTAAGAATAAAAATGGCGTTGCAAATATTTTTTATAGCCACTGTATGTCGAAAAATCATCAGACGTGTCTTGATGAACAAGTTTTCCATAATCGATGTTTAAATTATTATCATCTGAACGTTGATTAAATTCTTATTCGTTTCTCTTCTATTAAACGTCATTTTTAATCACTCATTCGTATGAAACTATATTATTATATTACACAATTGTACAGAATACGTAATTTGCATATTACAGGCCATTCATTCGTGCGAAACTTGGCAAACTTCACGAGGCATCCTGCACGGTAAAAATTCATATACCTTTGTCTCTTTTTAATCTTCGTGAAAACACATGAACACGTGTATGTGCGTGCGTTAACGAAAAAATTTAGTGAAACAGTAGCAAAAAGATACACGTATGTTCACAAATTGTTTTTATTAAATTAATTTATTTTAGCGATAAATCTTAATTATATTCATATCGTACGATTAAGTAATTTTTTTTTATTCAAAGCGATTGTACAAAAAGTCTCGTGACACAAGACACGCGATGTTTTTGACACAAGTTATAGAGATAAAAAAAATATTTCAAATTTATAGATACATGCTTTTAACAATGGAGGAACAATTTGTTTTGTACAAATTTTTCGCTTTCGTGATTGTCCACGAATTGTGAATCTGTTGTGCTTTTTGTTTATTTCCCTTGGTTTTTTAGTACCTTCGATATTAACAATTTTGAAAGCGTTCGAGTTAATTTGAATTTTTGATTTTAATTTGATTTTATCGATTTATTTGAAATTTTTATCATTCAACAAATAAAATTTCAATTTTTAACGGGAGATCAACAAGAAAAAAATTTCTTATCAGAAAAAATATACTTTCAAAAATTTAAATTTTAGCGTAACAATTTCGTAATGTAAATTAATATTTAATCATTATTCATTAAAATTTCGAGGTTTCAAAAAGAATAAAATGATTCGTCTTTGAAACGATAAGTCTCAATGAAATAAATCAAATACAATTGTCAACAACAAAATTTTCATTGACTTATCATGGAAACTTTATTCGAGCATTTTTTTTTTTTGCACTCATGGAATCCAAAAGAATAATAATAATAATACTTGAAGATTTGAAATTCCGCCAATTACAAAGAAAAAAAAAAGAAAAAGTAGCACAGGATTTCATGCCGTGCAAAATCCTTATCAATCATCCTATCAGCCTTTTGTTTTCCAATACCTACCCGACCTGCACTAACAATGTAACCTCCTCCACGCTGCCGCCTCCACGTGTCACCTGCAGTTCTGTCAACACGCGCCAGGCCATCATGTAAGTTCGCTGATACCTGCCTGCTCCCAACTGCTGCTTATCAACCTATTTGCAATATTTTATATATTTCTCTGATTATTCTGGTTCGATTATTAGACAGAATTTACTTGATTGTAAAATTGTATATTACACACTTATTGCATGATTCTTCTCGACGTAGAATGGTAAAATTGATGCACACTTGGATGGAATTTGAAAACGAAAAGAAGTATTTATTTTAAAAAAGAAAAAAATTGAAGTGGGGGAAGAAAAATTAAAAGATATAGTTTTAGAAATATTATTTTTAGTAGAAACTTACATTGTTGTGTAACAATTGTTGTTATAGTAAAGAATATTAGAATAATGAATAATGTTGTATTTAATATAATTAAATTATTGTAAGTATTATTCTAAGTAACATTAAGATTCTTTATGATAATAGATGATTTAAATTGAAAGAAAATATATAATATACATAGTTGAAAATCTATATTGGATTCATCTTTATCTAATAATAGTTATATATGATCTAAATTGAAAGATCAAAGAGTTTTGAGAATTGGTTTTTGAAGGAAACAATGATTTTTTATTCCAAAATATGTGGAACTAAAGTTTAGTTCGTCTTTAATTTTTAAAGAGATCACGTTGAAGATACATTTGAAATGTATGTTAAGCATCCTTCTCATTATTTTTTGAAATTTAAGTTTAAAATAGTTCAATTTTTAATATAATCATTTAATTTTATTTTCTTATTGAAATATTTTCTAACAAATTTTTAATTCAAGATTAGCCTTTCTTATTTTCACTTTATTCTCCGTGAATAATAATAGTGTCTCTTAAAATATCTAAGAAAGAAAGAAAGTAAGATTAAATTAGGCAAGTGAAACAAATGAGAAACGAATTTTTTTAACTTCAACTTTTCAACTTTTCAATAAATTTCACGCGATGAGTGAGAGTGGTTGATGATAAAATGGCGCGCTTAGTGATCGCCATTGTACAATTGATCAGAAACGAGTAATGAAAAATAAAAAATGAATCTTTACATAATTGATGCATGGTAATTATTTATTATTCTTTCGTTTTCGAATTACAATAATGCAAATGTGCATTAATTTTCAGCCAATGTACAAATATTAACATCTGCTTCATTTTTTCAATATCTCTCAATTTTCTTTGTTGAATATTTTTGTGTAGTTTTTTTTTTTTTTTTTTTTAGTATCAAGTTTAAACTTGTATATAATGTTATATAACTTGTATAATGTTTGTTTTTTTTCTCTTTATCAAAATTAAGTAGATGTGAATACAGCTTTGAATTAAATAATAATTAATATATCATAAGCTGATATATTAATTCTTCTTTTCTATATATTTTTTTCACATCAAAAATTGAAATAATAATAAATTCAACAATTTTCACATTGTGACTCATAATATTCTTATTTCTTATTAAAGAATATCTAATAGAATTGTAAGCACTCTCTAATAATATTTTTCCAATTCTTTTTTTTTTTTTTTTTATTACTTATGCGATGCAAATATAATTTTACTTTGCATTATCTACTTTGCTTCTTGCAAGTATTCTTTCTCTCTTATTCATTTTTCTCATTGTTTTACTTGACTTCCCGTAAATTTATTCCGCGATCGATATTATTTTGTAACATTAATCTTGATTGTCCATTTTTTTCACGCACACACACACACACACAAGGAGACCAAAGAAGCTTGTACGGTCAGTATTACAAAAGTATCGCAGATAAATATCATCATAATTCATGATTTTAATTATTCTTAAAAACTTTTCTTCTTTATAAAAGTCACTTAAAATTATAATATTTAATTTTACACAATTGTAAATTATATATATACACAAGGTGTTAATAAAAATATGGGACATCTTTGGAGGGTGGATTCTAAACATCAAAACGATGAAAAAAGTTCATATACACGTATGTCCGATAAAGCCTAAATAACGAGTTATAAGCAATTTAAATTTGTATTAGATAGAGCGAGACGGCGAAAGAGCGAGAACATTCAGCTGGATGCGCCGCAGTGTTGCGTATTGCAACATCGCTTGCGTAGCGCAGTCCGATGAAAATAAATTTACTGATACTTTTTTATAATATAATTGATTATTTCATATGAATTTTACTGTAATATAAAGTATGTATTATGTAACTTCTTATTTAACAAAATCTTACTTCGAATAAATTTTAAATATAAGTAAATAAGTTTAACCTTATATATATATATATATATATATATATATATATTCAATATATTCAAAGTTAAAATATGATTATGCAACATGATGATATTTTATCAAAAAATTCATAAATCCTGAAATTTTATTTCTTCAATAGAAAAGTATTGGAAAGTATTCTTCGGAAATAAATTTAAATATAGACTTTTAAAAAGACATTTACACTTTATACATTTGTATTTCAATTGTATTTCGATTTATCATAAATTTTCTTTCCAAAGTTTTAATATACGCGAAGCCTTTTCTTTTTCACTTCGTATTCAACTTTCGAGTCATGAAAATTCGAATGAAATCAAATCTCGAGATTTAAAAATATATATATTATATATATATATATTATATATAACAAGACATGAAAATATACATATATATATATCGAGAAATAATTAATTCAATCGCTCGAATCGGCAATCTTAAAAGCTAAACTTCTGTTCGTTGATAGTCTCTGGAGAAGGTGTTAGTTCAGAATCTTCACAATGATTTAACACGCTCTTTGAGCCTGATATTGGGCACGGTGCCACGATGGCGTTTGATACAAGCGGCTCTTCCCTACGTTCTCCATGCCACGGCCAATCTTCTGCACAATAGGTGAGATTGTCTATCTTTATGCACACCCATTTTGTCGAGTTTTTGTATTTTCATGTCCCCTTTACCGGCAATCGTTTCTTCTCGTTAATCATTAAGGAAGGATTTTCAAACTCTCGGCGCAATGGAGACGACTCTGCTTTACATCCTTCACTGGATACTACTCGATGCTGCTGAAGAATGCGCCGAGACCGACGCCGACCCTGGGAATCCCTTTTACTATCTCTTTTCCATACCCACTATGAGCGTAAGTAATCTCTCATTTATTTTTGTTAAATTTGCAGTAATTTTGAATTTTTAAAAGTGTTTCGTAAATTTTCGCGAATATGAAAATAAATTTCACGATTATTCATGTTCACGAATGTAATTAATAACTTGTGATCATGAAATAAATGAATAGAAATATTTATAATTGCATTAAAGAGATGATATTTCAAATATATATTATTTATTTTGAAATGAATATTTCAGAATATTTACTTTTTGAAAAAATTAATTATTTTTTTATATTTTGCTTACTCCTTGCCAGTTTTAATATTACACGTGAAACGAAGCAATAAGTAATTTGAAGTAATCTTCAAATGATTTTAAATGTTTATAAATATGCGATTAATTTGAATGCAAATTTTTTTTTCAGTTATTTGTCTATCTTTTCGCACCGCTGTGCAATCATCTAAAAGATATCGATTTTAAAACGAATCTACGATTGGAGAACGGATTAAAAATATGGTCAGCTATGTACGAATGCCGCCACCCGGATACACCTTGCTTCACCACACACTGTCGGATTAAACCGCAAGCTTTGTGGAGCCGATCTTTCAAGACTTACAAGCAGCATCAAATGTCCGATGACGTGTTTGTCGGAAGAAGTAAACAACACATTTCACGTTATTATGCTATTTTTATGCTCTGTGGTTTCCATTATTATAGGCAATTAGTTTGAATATGAGAATATATTACGAGAGTTTTTCTTAAATATAGGATTTGCATTTTTTTTTTTTAAATGATGAAGAAAAATATTACAGATTTAATATTTGTTCAACGGATATTATTCTATTCTTATCTCGTATGATATAAAGCAACAAAAAAATCATAAATTTCATTTTGATATTGTCTATATAAAGTTAATATATACTCATTCTATATTTAAGTAATCGATCATTTGGAGAAATTATTATTTAAAGCAATCAAAAATATCCTTATGATTTTCAAATGATTATTTTCAAAATGCAAACAAATTTATTATATTATATTGAAAATCAATAATATAAAGCATCAAAAAATCATAAACTTCATTTTGATATTATTCATATAAAGTTAGTATATACTCATCCTATATTTAAATAATTGATCATTTGAAGAAATTATTATTTAAAACAATCAAAAATATTCTTATGATTTATTTTTTCAAAATGAAAACAAATTTATTATATTTCGGTTATTAAATATTTAAAATTCACCCAGTTAATAATATAAAATAATATATATCAAAAAATCATAAATTTTGATATTATTCATATAAAGTTATATAAACTCAATCTATATTTAAATAATCGATCATTTGAAAAAATTATTACTTAAAGCAATCAAAAATATCTTTATGATTTATTTTTTTTAAAATGGAAACAAATTTATTATATTGAAATAATATAATATAATATAAAGCAACAAAAAATTATAAATTTCATTTTCATATCATCCATAGACATATAAGTTACATATAACTCAATGTAAATTTAAATAATCGGTTATTTGGAAAAATTATTATTCAAAGTAATCAAAAATCCTTATAATTTACTTTTTCAAAATGAAAATGAAATGAAAACAAATTTATTATATTATATTGAAAGTCCACTCAGTTAATAATATAAAGTAACAAAAAATCATAAATTTCATTTTGATATTGTCCATATAAAGTTAGTATATACTCATCCTATATTTAAGTAATCGATCATTTGGAAAAATTATTATTCAAAGCAATCAAAAATATCCTTATGATTCATTCCTTTCAAGATGGAAACAAATTTATTATATTTCGGTTGTTAGATATTGAAAGTCCACCCAGTCAATCCGTCAGCGCATTTTCCGATCAAAGTTCGGACAAACCGTCAGCCAAACAATTGGACGAAGACGTAAGTGATGTAAAAGAAAATCAGAATTCGGAATAAATATCAAAGATCTTTTAATCTTTTTAATCTTTAATTTATAATATTCGCTTTCAGAATATTTGGGTATCATCGCCAAAGGATACCGTGTTTCCAGAAACCATTCCCGAGGAGAGCTCTGGTACCGAAGACGAACACGTAGTGAGTATCTCTAAAATATGAAATATCGTTTCTTATTAATTTGATCAATGAAATAATAGAATGTGTATGTGTATCAGATGATCTTCAGGTTACCATCCCTCAGCGAATCGGAGAAAGCACTTGACGGGGTAAGAAAAATATTTAATTTTGTTTTTTAATTCGAATAAAATTTCAATTATTCATTTTTCTAGATTTTCTTTTTTTTTTTGGAAGTGACTTGTGTTTTGTAATAATTATCGATGATAGTCAAACATTCTGAAAATATAAATATAAATAATAAAATTGTATTAAAATCCATATTATTTACGACTTGCATTTTATTTGTTTATTAATAATGTTTATTTTCAAAGATATATTTCTTATAATTTCGATTCTACTTTCATTCAAATATTTTCAGTAGATTTTAATACCTTGTTCATGAATTCATGAATTTATGTGTATACAATATTGATATTTCATAGGATATTAAAATTTTTTCTTACAATGTTATTTAACATTTCTTTCCCTTTCGATTATCAAAATTTTTCAATTTTATTTGAAATATCTCTGCATAAAAATGATTAAAAGTAACAAAATTAATTATAGATCAATAATCACACAATTTCCATTATATTTTAGGGTGAAGCTAGTATATTTCACGTAGCGATGGGCAGGACTACAGGTTTCTCCAAATTAAGAATAGAACAAGTCACAGCAATTTCAGCACTGGACACCAGACAATATCAAGAAAAATCATCGAGTATCGGGTAATTTCTATTTATATTATTGTTAATATTATATATTCTATTTTTATTCTTATTTTTATTTTATTCTATTTTATTATATTTTATTCTATTTTTATTCTATTTTTATTCTATTTTTATTTTTATTATAAATTCTTATTTTATTTTCTTTTCTTATTTTATTCTATTTTTGTTTTTATTATAAATTCCTTTTTTTACATTTGTCAAATAAAAATGTGTGGATTTGCCAGAGGTCTAGAGAGGGAGAAAGAAGATCAGAAAATGGAGAAAGAAACGGTAGATGGATCGAAAACAAAAGGATCTCTGACTCAACGAGGTCCTGGTGATTCGAGCATCGGAGGATTAACGAGCAGTTGCCCTGCTATCGATGCAGACGTTCGAGCCGCTACTTTTCTCGACGTGGCTGTGCTTAGGTGCCTTTTTGTTCCTCAATGGCAGGAGGAAGGTGTACACTGGGCTCTACAATTTTTATACCATAGGCATGTATAATATATATTGAATTTTGTTTTATCACTCGTGAACATATAATAATAATTGAGATTCCATTAAATTATTGGATTGTTTAAAGAATTAGAAATATATATTTTACTTGTAAAATTTTTTAAGAGAGAATTAACATTGTGTTAATTCAAATTTTTCAACAAAATTGAAAATTTAGAATTAAAATTTTTTTTTAATAAATAGATATTGCACCTTTTCTTTCTTCAATGTTTTAGAGCTATCAATGATATTGATTAAAAAGATAATGAATAATTTTGAATAAACACAAGCTATATATTCAGATTTATTCTTTCATTAATAAAGCTTTAAAGATTTATATATTTAAATAAATAATATTTTGTACATATATATATAAAGCTTTAAAGATTTGTATACATAAATAAATAATACTTTATATATATATATATATATAATGACAAATAAATATATATATATATATATTACTTTACTTTTTTCATTTAAAATTTAATAATATTACATTATATTTTAATATTACGTTATTTCTGTAAAAATGGAAAATATTTTCATACAATGAAAAATTTTTCCTCGTCGTTCTTGTATCACTTGAAATGTTAAATTGAATTATAGTTCTTTGAAATTGAATTTCGTATATTTAAAGTCGTTTTAATCGTGAAAAATGGTAAATAGATTACGCATGATAAACGAAGAGACATCTGTACAACAAATGCCACGTCGACGTAGTAATTCTTTACCTATACCTAAGATAGAAGTTTCGATTTATCAAAGTCCTGAAAATAAGAAGAAGGACGTGTCGAAAGATTTCATGGAAGTGCCGGAAGTTCGAGATGTTTCCTTGCTGACTGGTACGTGTGAAAATATCATACAATGAAAATTTACGAAAATATTAATAAAGAATTAATAAAAAATTTCACGATTTTTATTTTATTTGTGCTCCATGTTTTTTTTTTTTTGTGTCCCAATTTAGGCCATGATGGCGACACGAGTCATACAAGGCGAGCCAGTGAGAAATCGAAAAAGAGAATGAAAATGGCTGACCTTAAAGCATTTGTTGAGACAAAGTTATTATCAAAATCCGAAAAGGCACTTGAAAAAATTGGCCAGGAGGATTCGAAAATGCTATTTGACCAGGTAATTTATGAAATATTGTGGCGAATTTTTAAATTTTCTTTTAATCCATTTTCATCCATAATTAATAAACTATAAAATTTCACGTAAATGTATATCTTTAGTATTACATGTATTTCATATAAACGGCATAAGTTAATGACAAGTGTCTGAAGATTTAAAGAACGATTCTTCGAAGAAAAATAAGTTTTTAAATATCTTTAAATGCAAGCGATTATCACATAGTTTTTACTAAAAGTATATTAAAATTAGGAAAAATTTGAACCATCATAATTCCGAAGATAATAACCTCTGATCAACGAATTAAAAATCGTTAGAAACGCAGAATTTTCTCCTTTAAAACGCACTTTCATTTATCTCGATACGACTTCCGGTTCCCGAGATATTGTCGTGTAAAGAGAAGAGTAATTTTTAATCGTATATTTTAAACCCTATTAAACTTTATTAAAATTAGGAAAAATTTGAACTGATATAAGTATAAAGATAATGATCTTTGATCGATGAATCAAAGATCGTTAGAAGCGCAGAACTTTCTCGTTTAAAACGCACTTTCATTTATCTCGATCGACTTCCGGTTCCTGAGATATCGTGTAAAGAGAAAAGTAATTTTCGATCGTTTACTATCTCCATTCCTGTTATTTACTCGGACCTTTTGCTCGTACCTCTATCTCACTGATCTATCACAAACTCCGGACAAGCGACAGATAGAATTCTTGGAAAAATAGTATGCATTTCCAGGAAAAAAACGTCACTGAATCGTGAGTCGCTCATTCATTTGCACTGTTCTGAAACGCTATGAAAACTTTGCGTTCTTATCTCGACAACCGTTTGAGATATCGAGATAAAACAAAAATTGATTTCAATGATATGGTTTTCTCTATCTTTTGAATAGATTTTACGAAATCTCACTTAATTAACTTTGTGCGAATGGATGTGAAGTATATTCGATAATAACGCATTTTAGTTGTATAAAAATTCACTTCAGAGTTTATTCATCAGAATGTAGTTTAATATAAAGTTTTTCTTTTTTTTTGATTTTTAAATTATTCGATTCATATTATTGCAGAGGATTAAACTTTAACAAATAAGTCATTTAAAGTAAATTTTATTTCTAGGAGAGCCATAGGAGCCTCGACACAGGGGATGATAATTTAACGAGACCGACTTCCACGATGTCGAAAATTTTTGAGGCGAAGGACGTCGATCACATGAAACATCCAACGAATCTAATAAAAGGAAAAAGCATGCCAAGTTTAAGGTAAGGGAATACACTTGCAAGTAAAATTAAATCTATCTCAGAATATTCTATTTTATATAAATTTCTTCTTCTTTTCATTCTCGAATTTTCTTCTCTTTTACTCGTACTTACATACACATTAAACGACGATTCTTTCAATCGACGTTGCATATTTTTGTTGAAATTTTTCAAACACAAATGTTTTGATCAATTCATCGATATAATTTGTGTATGTGCGTGCGATGTGAATCTTGAATTAATTTTGCCAATTAAATTCGAGCAATTTATAAATTGAAACGGAAAATTTCCAATTTTATGGAAAAATATAGCAATGCTTAAACTATTGTACGCTGTAAGAAACAAGCATTTTAGATAATTAATTTTTCTCTTCGAATGTTAGATTATAATCAGTGTTGGGTAGTAATATCGTATACATATTATATTATGAAAAATGGCATCTGTCAGCATTCAGTGTTACAAGTGTTATCTAGATTTAAGGTATTTTATTCATTTATTAGAAAGAAATTTTTTTAATATAATTGTCAATCATAGGAGGTTAGTAAAATATTCGTATTCATTAAATTATAATTAATTATAATTAATTATAATATAATAATATAATATAATTAATTATAATATATTTTTCTTAATATGTAATTTTAGATAGATGTCACTTTGGTTTTTATGATAGTTTCTATATAATATTCGTAGGTAAAAATGTAATGTATTACGCTTATTTTAATTATTTATTCTAATTATTATTAGCACGATAATCATGAATCATAATAGTGTTAGAATAAACTAGAAATTATATTAAATTTATTATTGATATATATTATTACAATATTTCATATTTACAAGCATAATTTCAAGGCGAATTTTTCAGGCATCTATTTTTTTTATTTTTAATATATATATATATGTATATTCAATTTATGATAATTGAAATGTTTGTTTAGAAAGATTGCAAGTGCATTGTTCTGCAGCTTGTATTATACTCAGGCCTCATATATTATAGATTTCAAGAGAAATTTTTTACCCAACACTGACATATTTTCCAACTATATATCTGAATTTTCGATAGAATAATCCCAAAACTATGTTATCCTAATGAATAGGATAGATTCTTCATAACGATATACATCGATATACATCGAAGAATGATGAATCAAATTGATTAATTTTTAATTCAAAATCATACACATTTTTAAATTGTAAATTTGTAAACATATTTTAAAATAAGAAAAATAAGAAAAAGAAATTATATTATATATAATTGGATAAATATCTTTAAATTTAACAGTAACTGAAAAATAACATCAAATTTACAAAATATGATTCATAATATGTTATATATTTAACACATTAATATTGTTTCCTTCGTGTCCATTAAACTTCTTTAATTATTCTCAAAAATATTCGAACATTGTTATAATTTTAATATTTTATATCTGAAAATAAAAATATATCAGACTTAGTTCAAATTATTAAATTCATTGAAAGAAAAAAAAATTTTCATGTTACTAAAATATTCGAATATCAATCCAAGATAAAAAATATTAATTCAATTTTTTAAACGAACAAATCAATTTCTCTTTTATCTAATTTCATAATTTCAATATTCATTATTAAATTGGCTTTCTGCCAATTTTTCACGAACAGAGTTTCTGAAAACAATTTCTTATTTTACTATTTATTACAATTATTAATTTACATTATTGTAAATTTTCTCCCAATTTTAACATTTTCGAATAAAATCCATAAAATTATACGATAAATAGAGAAAAAAAAATATTGTAAATTTGTAAACATATTTCAAATAAAATAATAAAAAAGATATCATATAACTGGATAAATTCTTACAAACTTCGATCTATATCCGTGCAAAGGATCTGCCTATCTTCATTCGAGTAACACAGTTTTGCCCACTACTGCATTAATTTGATTAAAAAAAAAAAAAAAAAAAGAAATCCCTCGTTTACAAAACTTATGCGTAATGTGTTTCTCTGTGTGTCTCTCTCTTCTCTCTCTCGTTCGCCTTTTCACCTCCTGAACTCGTACTCAGCTGCTTGATTAACGAGCTGACCGCGGGAGGGTAAGTCATCAACGTCACTCGGAGGAAGTTCCGTACTGCAGCTCGGTTTACACGCTTCTTTTACGAGCTTCCTGCTTTCCGGTAGGGCGCACAATTATCCTTTAAATACACACATATACACACACACCACGCCCTAACCGCCTTGGCCAGAAACAACGGAATAAACACTTTTTTTTCTCTCTGAAAAATATATTTTTCTCTCTCTCTCTCTCTCTTTCTCTCTCTATCTCGGACAAACGCGATATCGACGATCGATCCTTTTATTTTCCTTTTAATTTTATCGTTCGTATTTTCGTCAGAGGATGGCTAAGTTAAAGTTTTTTCACTTTATTCATTGTTGTTATTGTTGTTGTTGTCATATTATCGAGAAAGATGAGAAAGACGAAGATCGAGGAAGAGTGAAATGGATACACAAGGAAACGGCGTGTCGATCGTTCCATTTCCCTTTCTCTCGAAATTTGTCAGTGTCTTGGATAACGAGGCGAGAGATGAAACGGAGGAGAAGGTGTAAATCCATCTTCTGGCGAAGTGCATTGCACTACTCGTTTCATTGGCGAGTGAATAGGGTGAATCGTGTAATTTGATCAAATAACGTGATTGAGAGAATTAGTAAATTAATAACAATATGTAAAAAAATTGTGGATTAATGTTATTTTCTATTGTTTATTTTTTATTACGAGTAATTTGAACTTACAAGTTGGATGAAGTAAAGAAGAAATATAGCAAGACAATCATCTTTATCTTCGTCTCACTATTTTTAAATTTAAATTATTAAAAAACATATAATTCCATTCAAAAAATTGATCCTCACATTCTTGTTGCAAAAGAAAATAATTTTAAATTTTGGCAAATTTTGTATGGAATATTTTTGAACGCATAATTCATGAAATTGTTTGAAATTATACGAGTCATCTTGTATATCGAGATATAATTTTATGATTCCAAATAAATTTTTCTTGCCACTACATTTGTTGATAATTTGTTAATTTAATTTGTTAATTTACCTATTTTAATATCTTTTCGTCGAATTCCAGTAATAATTTTTTAAAAATTTCAACATTATTCGACATCGTTTTCTTGCATTTTTATATTTCTGATCTATCGTTAAACGCTTTGTTTCGTTTCTCGCATGAAAATTTGAACCCTCGTTTCATTATTTTCTACTTTCTAATCATCATCATCAAACTGTTCTACGAAAACAGAAATTAATTCGATATTAGTCAACGTAACACATTCCTCTTAAAAGAATTCATAGAATTCATGAAAATATAGAATTGTTATTTTAGTGATACCTTTTCAGAGCACAACAAGATATTTGATTATTTTCGCAATAATTGTTGAAAGAAATTTAAAAAGAGAATACTATATAATGGAATAAGACGAAAAATATGAATAAGAAAAATTATGACTATTTAATGTTATTTTTCATTTATAAATATTTAAATAATAACTTGAAAAATGCTTTGATCTTGACAATTTAATCATAGCAATATTGAATTATTAAAAAATAATTTACATACATTTTTCTATTTTAATTTTATATAAATTATTTTTCATTGAAATAAAATCCTGATATTTGTAGATAAGATATATTAAATTATTAAAAAATAATATACACATATTTTTCAATTTTAATTTTATATAAATTATTTTGCAATGTTTTTCACTGAAAATATAAAATCCTGTGATATTTTTTAATATATTTGTAGATTAAATATATTAAATTATTAAAAAATAATATACACATATTTTTCAATTTTAATTTCATATAAATTATTTTGCAATATTTTTCACTGAGATATATACATATAATAATATACATATATATTTTTCAATTCTAATTTCATATAAATTATTTTGCAATGTTTTTCACTGAGATAAAATCCTGTGATATTTTTTAATATATTTGTAGATGAGATATATTAAATTATTAAAAAATAATATACACATATTTTTCTCGAATTTCATATAAATTATTTTTCACTGAAATAAAATCCTGTGATATTTTGTAATATATTTATATACAAGATTAGATACACTAAATTTGCATATTTCCATTACAAAATTTTCAAAAATGATTAATAGCAATCTGTTAAGCTTAGATATTCTTCTAAATAAAAGAGGATTAATTGAAATTTTATTCGTATATAAAAAAACGAATGCAATCATGGTTTTTTGGTGAACCGTAGGAAACATTAATCATGCTTTGGAACCCATCAAGAACGAATTGCCGTGGAGAAAGAAATGTAGAGAGGTGAAAAAAAAGGTGAACTATAAAAGATACCTATAAAACAGGAATAACGATGATGAATATATCAGATAGTCTGCAGCAGATTAATGAATCATAATTATTAAACACAGGCTCTCCTAATACTTGTGTGAAATATTATTTAGATTAATGCATTAAAAAGATATTAACCCTTTGCAATTTCAATTTGCAAATACGAAATTAACGGACATAAATTTAATTTTACAAAAATTATTTTATTAAATTGAAAATTAAATTGAAAATAAGAGAACACGTCATCGATTTCGACAAATTATCATTAAAATATCTTTCGAGAATAATTCGTGATAGTTTTGGACACGTATCTTTAGAAAATTATGTACAAAAATATTTTTCACATTATAACGCGTTTCTAAGATTTGTAAGATCTATAGATTGAAGCTCTTATTCTATTTTTTGCTAATATTTTTTAGTTTCACGTTGATTAAAAATTATTTTTACTTCTTTTTATAAATAAGATAAAAAAGATTGTCAAGTTCAAAGCATTTTTCTTTTCATACGCTAAATATTTACGACTAAAATAAAAAAATATCGTAATTTTGTTATAATATTCTCGTCTTATCTCGTCATCGATGAGTAGAATTTTTCAATGCGGGAATACTCTATGTATGCCATTGCAAATAATTACATATTATAAATGTTATGTAATGTTATGCAATGTCCCAAAATAATTGTTTATTCATCGAGGAAAATTTTTAAACTATATTCTATTAATATATATTTTTAAGTATATATTTTAGCCCACGTTTAAATTTACAATTTAATTTATGACACGGCTAAAGATCGACCTCTTTATGACTGTGGCTAACAATAAATTAATCTCATATCTTACACTTTATTTAATTTATACAAGTATGATCGTCATTAATTTTCTTTTTTTATAGTAAAAATAATTTATTAAATAAATAATGAAAATTTGCAGTCATTCTTTAATAAGTTTTACGAAAGTAATACGATCCTAAATAAATCTTAAAAAATAAAATTTTTGCGTATAAATGCAAGAATTAAAAGATCTTACAGTAACAAAATGATAATTTTATTATTAACAGTTTTCGAATTATATTATTAATTTTTGTATAATCTAAATTAAAAAAATTTACGTCATTTAATCCTATCCTGAAGAGGAAAACTTTTTAAAAACTGAATAATTCGTAATAAAATGGATCATTCTGTATTTTAATTACAAATATAATTTTCGATATAAATTTTCTTGAAAATTATTCAATCAAAAAGTTTCATTTCATATTTTATTTTTATTTTAACTAATTCCTCAGATTTGTTCTGCCCTCCTTATTTCTCTCCTGGATTTTGAAACATTCGAGAAATTTATATTAGTAAAATTTTTTCACAAAAATACATATTTATATATATTTTGCATATTTTACATAACAGTCTACAAATATTTAAACATTTTTCTTCCGATGTTAATTTAAATGATAATTGATCATATTCAAATGGAAAAATTCTAAATAATTTATGTATAAAATTTTGTAAATTTTTTTCAAATGAATAATAATTTATAGAAAAAATATTCAATTTTACAATTTTATGCAGATAAATTTATATTTGTACGACACGATTTTATATACATAACTTGAACACAGCAATCCACGTCATACAATATTCATAATCATACAATATTCTCAAACATATTCAAATTTATTTCGAACTTTACCATCACTAATTTTATTATCAATAATTTTACAACGATTCAAAGTAACCCATGTAACACTCGTAAGGAGGGCAGTGTCTCATTGTAAATTACACAACCTTACGAAGATACAAACATTCCCTCTTGTAAATTACATTCCCCGCATTCTTCGATCTTCGAACCATCTTAAAACCATCGAAGATTTTTACTCGCAAGAATCGAGCAAAATTAAATATACACAGTATTAAAAGAAAAAAAAAATAAAAAAAATAAAAAATTGAGAAGCACATCGAGCATGCAACGTGGAATGCTGCAAACGCACCAAAGTAGATAAGAACCTTAGAGATCGAACAGTAGTAGCGCTTGACTCACAAATGTCCAAAATGGCATGAAGAGAATCGAAATGCAAAATATCTCTGCACATTGTGCACCATAAGATTCTGATCAATCTCGTGTTGTAGGTACATTGGCGATACTCGAATAGAGAGGAAACAAAGTCGATTTTACAGTCAATCGTATACAGCACCGAACCCCATCATCACAGTTACGGAGCACACGCCTACTCCTTCCCCAGACTTCATGAAACGACAGGTAAAAAAACCAATTTTTGAAATTTTTAAAATTCTTCGATCGAATTTTATCTAATTTTTCACCCATTTTCTTTCCTTTTTCTCGACCAGGGTTCGATCGACAGTCAATTAGACGTGATTAGTATGCACGGTAGTCGTTTAGATTCCGAGAGGAAACCCAGTCTAACACGATCTCAAACGGACTCCAACATCACTTACGCGAGCGACGAAATACCAGAAGCGCCTGGCTCTTGTTGCTATATCACCAAGGAGGGAGACATCGATCTTCAAGTTGTTCTAAAAGTAGAATTTCGAGCAATTATTTTGATTTATTATTATTCCCATATCATCGAGATTTTTTCTCATATCTCGAAATTATATTTTAAACTTGTCTTTCTTTATAGGCAGTGCACTCGGTCGCCTTGCGGGACAATAATTGTTGCACCTTAAGGGTGTGCGAGAACATTTTAAATCTGGTCGAACTTTTGATAGATATGGGCGTGATGAAACAGTGTCTTCGAGACGAAATTACTGGCAGTATAGCAGGTAAAGGAATATATATATATTTTATTACAGGATTTATTACAGAATGTGTATAAAAAAAATATACGTATATACAGTATATAATAAGATTACAAAAGATATAAATAGATATAATTCCTTTTCAATTTGACAATAATACTATTAAATCCATAATATTATTTTCTTTTTTGTAAATTAAATTAATTATCATAAAATCTCTTGTTATTACTAACATTATTCGAAATGTATATGGTACAGTTAATATTGTCCTAATAATAATTAAATTACTATAAAAAAATAATTTATTTCCTTAGAAAAAAAAATACTCAATAATTAAATCTTTTGCATAAAATCCAACTAAAAATGGAAATCCACATAAACTCATTATAATAAATAATGTAAATAATATATTTCGAAACAAACAGAAGTATATACATTTATTACACATTTTGTATATAAAATACATAAAATAGAATAAATAACATTTGATAATAATATTCCCAAGAAATACTTAAATTACCCGAAATGCTTCAGAATTTTCTCTCAAAAATATCCCCATTCCACAACAATCGTTTTAATAACCTTTTTTTTTTTTTCATCGTTTAACAGAATCAGCGACAGCTGTAGAAAGAGCGGAGGCAGGGAAGAAGAAGGAGTCTCCGGAGAACGAGCAGGAGTATCGACAGGACAATCTCTCAGAGTCCAAAGTCTCGTCCCACAATCTTCTGATGAACTGCGTGATCAGGGTGGTTAAGCATCTTGGTTGTCCCCACAACTGCTCGGAAGGTATACGCGGGCAACAAGCCGATTTTTGCCGATCCCAGGCGCAAACCATCCTTATGAAATTGCATCGGGCCAGCTCGAAGCAGTTCTCCCGATTCCTGAGATCGATGGTGCGAGAGCAACCTATACCCGAGGTTCTGGAATTCTTTCACGCGTTGGTCGGATTCTGCGTGGATCCAAGTTCGTTATTATCACCACTTAGTGAGTAAATCGAGAGGAACGAAGAGAGGCGCCGCGCATTTGCTTTCAATTACAAATTGCTGCAAAATTTAATTTTTCAAACGCAAACTCGAGGAGGGGAGAGATATTTGCATTTGGCTCCTTATAACTTTTTGGCTGCGTATACATTCGTTGTTTTGTTACTCTTGATTTTCGATATTAGCGAGAATCCTGTTGAAAGCTGTTGGAGGTAGAGATGGGATCGAGTCGAATACGCACATACATTGTTTCGATTTAGAGGAATTTTAATTTTCCATAAATATTTAATGTCATTTAGCGTCACGAGTGAACGAACAGTCTAATTTTAATAAATAAATAAAAAATAACGACATTAATATTATATTTTACTTTGGAATCACGATTTTAAATATAGTTTGGTCGTATCACGTGAAATTTGCCGTTTTTGTTTAGGCTTTCGAAACATTTCGAACCATTCAATGACCTTTTCCCAAAACAGATTCCAACTGACTGTTCCATTTCTATGAAACGCAAATGCGAAGGAAATTCTTTGAAATGCCGCTTTTAAAAGCTGTAAATAAGTGAGAGATTTCATATTTCGATTCAGCTAATTTTTATAGAGCGGTTTTTTGATGTCGAGCGTTGTTGTAAAAGAATATTGTGTATTCACTGATGCCAGTTGTTTCTTAATCGATTATCCCCTCGGCAGTGGGATACTTATGGTATCTCTTCAGAAAAGAATAATGAATTATTTCCTTTGCAAACTACCATATATTTATTGACTATTGTTCAGATTGTGCACAATTATCGTATAGTGTTCATTTCATCGTCACACACATTTGCATCCTTTTCTTCCAATTTTTTTCATTTTACCCATCGTAAATATGTGGAAACTATCATTGAAGATACTCTGCTTCCATTTCGATTTTCAATTTATTCTTGTTCAACATGAATTTCGATCCATTCTATTTTCAAGATTCACATTTTCTTTTTAGAATCTTCTTAGAAAGCTAACTGTCAAACAATTAAAATTAATCGCGCAATTAATCAAGATGATCAACTTTATCGCGAGACACTCGATCCCATCGCTACTCGAAGCGCCAAGAACTGAACCCTATTTTTCACGTGGCAGATCAGAAACGAGGGTCGAGCAAGTCGCCCGAGATCTCAGGATCTCAGGGTGGCTACGCGACAAATTTCGGGGCCAATCTCATGGGTGGCGGGGGTGGAGGGACCGGAAGTTCCTCCGCGACGCCTGGCACCGTGATGGGTGCCGTGGTCGCCGCGAGCGGCGCTGGTGGCGCATCTTACGGATCGGTCAGCCATGGGGCGCGAGGCATAGAGGGTCACGTTTTCAACTACGTGTTCAAGGCGTTGGTCACGCGTTTCGTGAAGTCGTTGAAAGAGTTGAAGTCGCAGGAGAACGTGTGCCTGTACTGCGACGTTCGACAGTTCATGTCGTACGTGAAGGAGGTGCATGGGGGCGCTTTTCGTAGAGTGGCTTTGAGCGGGATCCTGGACTCGGCCGACAGGCCCAACAAGAGGTGCAACAGCAACGTTCAAACGACTCGCGTGATTAGGTGAGAAAAAGATTCGGGTCTCATCTACGAATCTCTCGAAATTTTAATTTTAATTTTCCTCTATCGTCGAAAAATATTCGCATTTTTTTTTTGTTGTTTACTTACAATTCAGACACATGCATCAATCGGATTTAGAGGAGCACGCTGATATCGGAGGGGATACGTGTTACACTATGGACGACAGAGGGACACGAAAGTATTTTCTCAAAAAGAGGAGTACATCCTCCACGTGTGCGGTACGTAGATACGCGAAGAACGCAAGAGAGGAGACGTTTAGAACCTTCACTGTGTATGTGATATATAGTTCGCGTTCATGCAGAGCCTTCTTGAGACGGAACTGAGCGAGGAGAACGCGAAGATCAGCCAGAGCCCCTTAGGAAATTTGAGGAAGAAACATCACATACTCACGCCACGACAAAGCGAACGAAATTTAGGGATAGAGGCTATGAGTTCTGGGAAAATTCGAAAATCAACTCGCTTTCAAATCGGTGGCATAGGTATATATATATGCAACACGTATAAATTTCTGATTATCGTTACGAATATCATAAAGACAAACGAGAAGAATAATTTTGAAGAATCGAATTCCAGATCGAAACGTTTTAAAAAAGAAAGATTATCAGATTTCGATCTGGAGTATCGTAGAAAGAAAATAATAACGAATGTAAAGGAAAAGAAACGTATTTGTTCATAATTTTATTGATTAATTTTAGTCAATTGGTTTCGAAAGGAATATGGTAGAACTGATTCTACAGATAGTCACGAAAGCAGCGAATCGCCAACAGATGGCAGTTTCGTTAGGCAATCCAGTTTTCATTACGGCCATCATCGTAATGCGTCTAGATCCGGACGTGGGTGAGTTTTTTTTCACAGAGAGAAGCATCCATAACCAAAGAATTTCTAGAATGATTTTAACAACCAAGATCTCTGAGTTCTTTCCTTTCTTTTTAAAACATGAAGTGTCAAATTTTAACGTAAAAACAAGTAGATGTAAATGTTGAAAATTAATTCTAAATTTCATTGACTTCTGCAAAGAAAATTGATAAACAAAAAAAAAAACATTTTGACAAAATTTGTCGAATCAATCGAAATCTTCAAAAAAGTAACTAACCTAATCTTACCTAACCTAACCTAACCAAACCTAATCTTTTTAACCTACTTTAAAAGTTTCAACAATTGACATTTTTTTTTTTAAATACAATTACTTACGACTTCTTCAGAGTCGGCCTAACTTTCCAAAAAGCGAAACGTCGAATGGAGGATCAGTTGAACAAGATCGGTTTCGGAAAAAGTAAGAAGAAGGAGAGTTTAGAGGATGCGCCAGGAAGTTGTAAGTCGATCGACAAGTTATGTACGATTCTCTTTTTTTTTTCAACAGAGAAACATGAAAGAGTGTTGGAATTGGTAACAGATTTCAGCAGAAGGAATTCGATGGAATTCGGCGAAGCTTCCAGGGAATCAGAGTTCGTGGTATTGAAAGAGAGAAGACTGGTGCCCCGCAATGCCGTCTACGATGGAATGCTAAGATTCTCATTCTTACTGGAGACATGCCAACCGGGTTCGGTTCCTGATCACTATCTAATGGCAGCGATCTTAGATCTTGTAAAAAATATTTTATTTCTCAAACACATTTATCTCGATAGAAGATTTCTGAAAAAATTTCTCAAAATTCTCAAATTATCGATCTTACCTTAACTCACGACCAATCAACCATCGTTTTTTCCTGCTTTAAAATTTAATTCTTAACTCTATCTATTTTTATTTAATTGTCAAAATACATTCTTTATTTTTTCGGTGATTTTTTCTTTAAATCGGCTAATCGATAATTGGTGACTTGTATAAGTATTTTAGATAAATTCTAGCAGTTGATTGCCAAATATAGTCTGCTGGATACTCCCATCGATATTTTACTAATGCGAGTCGCAAGAATTATTATTTGTTTTCATCACTAAATTCATGAGATCCTTATCACTTTGTCACTTTATATGAACAATTTGAATCTTTCGAATCTTTCGAATCGAGTAACGAATTGTTAAAATTTCTGTCTAATTCGTTCCAAAAATAGAAGAGTTATGTCTTAGTAAATTATATAATAGATAACAATTTTTTGTCCAAATTGTCCTGACCAATTTCAACTTTATATAAAATGTTAATCTTTTTAATAAATATAAAATATTCCATAAAATATTCGTAAATCTTGAATTCTATTTATATATAATGCATAAACCATTAAATAAAGTTTGAGAATATGGAATTCTAATTTTATCAATATCAATGGCAGCAGCATTTATAGATTATGTTCTTCCTTGAAGATCAAATATATTAGTTTTACATTCTAAACAATTTTTTTAATAAACCATTTTTGTATTACTTTTATAAGAATTCAATAGTTTTATTACATCCTGTGGAATATCCTTCCAAATATCTACAAATATCTTTCGTAAGTAGTCAAATAAGCGTCTGAATATGGATGATATGGCAGTCAACGTGCTAGATATTTAAATTTTACCAAGAAATACATTGGAAAAATATTGAGAAATTGCGAGTGATCCTAAGTTTTTGACATAAATATATAATAATATATATATGTATATATTAAAAAAGATCGCCATATATGTATTCTATTTATAGCCTTATGCACCAGTGGTGGCGCGAGCGTCTCTCCTATTAGAGTGCGCCCATTTTGTTCACATGTGTAACAAGGGGCAATGGCCCACTTGGATGAAAATGAACTTGCCTATGTTTCGGCCCTCGGTCCCAATTAACAATCGGAGTACATCTATATCGAGAATCCACATGCTTCAACGTACAGCTGGAAAATTGTTTTACCAATGGGCAGAGGTATAATTATCAAATACTGAAACGAATAATTATCAAATACAGTATAAGACGAATAAAGTACAAAGTAAATAATATTATAATTATAAAATATTCAACACAGAGCGTTAAAAGAAAGCTTTGATCTACTTTAAGAATTTATACTGAGAGAAGTGAATCAAATATTTTTCGAATATTATTTAAACAAAGTAAAAAAAAATTTTTATAATCCTTCCATTCGAATTAATATTGTTTAATGATTGAAGAGAAAAGAAAATTATTGAAGTAGTAATTGTATTTGCATAGGCAATTGGAGCAAGATTGGAAGAATTATTGTTGGAAGACAAGCAAAACTTTGATCAAGTGATAGCAATGGTATCTGATGAAAATAAACAGAGAGACTTAATCACAGAGGACGAGGAGGAAGATTTTCTTGACGAAGGTGATTGTTCAAAAATTTTTATCACGTGAATAATCAATTATTTTTGTTATCAGAAAGGGCAAGTGTAAATTACATTTACACGTTTGTATTCGTTTTTACTTTAAATACAAAATAATTATTCAACTTCTAACGAAATTAATTTGTCAGACGAACGAAAGATTAAAATTATTAAAACACTTTTAAACGATATGACGGAGAAAAATTATCAAACTGAAAATTATAAAAGTTGATATAAATATCGTTATTCTTTTCTAGCTAGCATAAACGGCTATGGATCGCAATGTCCAATCGCGTTACGCCTTACCGCGTGTATTTTACTTCTGGAGGTGACAGCATTCCTAAGAGAAACTTATCAAACGTTGCCGAAATTTAATAAACTGCTTACGAAGGAACGTCCACTACCGTGGGAAAGAATGTATAGCAGGGAAGCGAATCGAAGATGGAGCATGGCGCTTTCATCGATGGGCCATTCACAAACGTCGGCCCAGAGCCTTCAATCGATCGTAGGTGATCGGGAAGTGGCTCGTAAGTACTCAAGAATCAAAATGGAGAATATAATTGTTTTATATATATATATATATATATGTATGTATATACGTATGTATGTGTATGTATATGTATATAAGAGATAAATACGACTTTATACGAAGAGAAATATCGTTTTAACATTTGATAATCGAGGAAAACACGTTTTGGTTACACGTTTGATTCCCTTAATTTAATTAGGCTGAATCATATTTTTAGCGGAACGCAAGATCAGTTTTGTCCTTTATGAGCCTGACAATGAGTCAGAAGGTAGTAGTAAATCAACTGTTACAATTCAAGGGGAAGATTTTCAAAGTGCCGAAAAAGAGAAGGCGAAACGCGTGCAACCACCGCAAAGTCGGCCACTACTTCTTCGTCGTGGTACCGCTGAGAACGCGACTGGTTCGTTTAAGAAAAGGAGTTTGAAACTTCGACGCGGTACTAAAGAAGGGAAAGAGACCGAGTGCGAGGCTTGTGAGTATATAAATAACTTATTTCAATATGAATCTTGATCGTAATATTCGTGAAATTCTTCCTTATGGGGTTGATTACTACGAAAAATTGGTGCGAGAAACGTCGATTCAGATCGAGTTACAAGCAATTAAATTACTTATAATTCAACGAATAAATTGATATTCTCGTATATGATAATTTTTTAACTTTTGTTTTAGTTTCGAAAGGATTCCACGAATATATGTAAATAGACAAGAAAAAAAATTTTATGCAAATGTGAAGTGTAGATAAAATGTTGAAATGTTGTTTTTTTTTCAATTTGCAACTGTAACAATTGTTGTTTAAATAGCTCGATTGACTATCATTGTGAAATTAATACCTACAGTCGGTAAGTTTGATATTCTAATTTGATATACAATTAATATCTTTATGAAAAGGCAGTGTGACAGAGATACAGCTCTCTGTTCTGCTTCTTCTAATGCAAATTTTTGCTCTAACTTGTAATAAATGAGCCTCGATCGATATTATGAATGAATATTTTAAGAACTTATAGTGTATTATCGTCTCAATGATCCTGGGAAAAATTTTTAATTTGACATTTACTCATTGCTCTTTCAAAAAATCATGGCAATATGATCATGAAATAAATTAATAGGCGAGAATATTATCAATTATAAAGAAAATTGCAACGTTAAAACATTTTCAATTTTTTATCCACACCTTCTACGTACACTTTCGTTCATAATAACAAACAAATACAGTAATTTTCCCTTCAGTGTATTCAAGATTACAGAATTTGAAAATTTTAAATAATAATATTTTTAAAGTGAAAAAATAAATACCTTTCAATCTCCTGGAAATTTCTTGACTTTTACAAAATTTTAAATTACTTTTCTCCTATTTTTTGATAAATTATGAGATTACGAAAATCAGTCTACATAATTAAATAAACATAATTAAATATTAATGAAATATTTCGAATCGTTATATAAACGTTTCTTATAAACATTCCCCTACCAATCTTATCGAATCAATCAATGCTTTACTCATTTATAAACGAAAGTTGCGTGTCTAATGAAACGAATGAAAAATCAAACGACGATAATAACGATGCAGATACGGTGAAACGAGCGGATTCGATACAGTCAAAGAGGAAAGTGAGTTCGTTGTCGGACAGAAGCGACACGTCAGAGCCCGGTTTCGGGGGCGAGATTAGCGGGGAAGAGTCTCCTGGAATTCTGATCGACGACCAACCACCCGAGAGCCCGAGCGACAGTAACGAAACCGACGAGACGAATAAAAATTTCCCATGGATGAAAGTGTTGGCCCAGTTCGCCAACTCGTTCAACTTTTACTGCTCCCATCAGAATTTCTGCCACCCGTATTGCCACAGGCGGCAAATGCGCGCGTGCAGCAGATTGATCAAATCCATAAGGAAAATCTACGGAGAGGAGTTTGGTATATTGAACGGGACAGGGATATTCGACTTGGACACGGATAAGAAGGAGGCGAGTAAAAAGGAGAAGCGGAGCCGAAAAGTTTCGGAGCAGGCCAGCACCCAAGTATCCCCTGTGAGGAGGAAGGACAGCGTAGGGAAGAAGTACAAGTAACTTTTATTTTCCTTGATCAATTCGTGAAAACAGACTCGCTCTACAATTTCGTGAATAAATTTAATATAAGACATTTTTCCAATACAATTTGGATTAGTATCAACATCTCGTTGAGATTAAATACAAATTATTCCTTCTAAAATCTCTCGTTCGAACGATCTGTTTTATTTCAAAAATTTTACCAGAAATGCATGGCTCTATTTCGTTAAGATTTCTAAGTTTTGGATTACAAGTATACAGTATTTACATTGAAATATAACAATCAAACTCCTCGTGATAAAAAAAAAATTAGAAAAGTATTTATTCTATGAAAAGTGGCGTTCCGTTCCTCTTTTTTAACAGGGTCGAGAAGAATATGGAGGGTTCCCAGTCGGGCAAACTCGCCCAGCGAGACTCGTCTAAAGACCTGGCCGATCAAGATTCGGAAAAGGGGAAGGAGTCGTCGAAGAAGTCGAGCATAGGGGAGGCAGACAAGGAGAATTCGGCTATCCTGAAATACCTAAGGACCCAAGTGAAGGACGTGTTTCACGCGCCGCTCGCTACCCTGGTGAAGGGGGCGGTTGTGATGACGGAGGAATTGTTCATGGACGTTCTGCCGGTCGCTTGGGAACTTCTGCTCGAGGCGAACCAAGAGGTGGCAGCTTCGGCTGCGTCTCTTTTCATAGTTGCGGCGGTACGCGCTCCGAATCAGGCCAGCGAGCTGATGCACCACGGTCTCCGTCACAATAGCACGAGCGTGCGCATAAACGCCATACTGAGGTTCCAAGTGTTGTGGAAGCTGAGATACCAAGTTTGGCCACGAATGGAAGAGAGCGCCCACCTGACGTTCAAAGTGCCTCCACCCGGTATAGAGTTCACGTTGCCATCGCCGAAAATCGGCATCGAGTCGTTGCCTGTTGTGGATCCACCTTGGATGCCACAGGTGAAAACGAAGGTGGAGGAGGTGACCATTAACCAGGAGCATCATGTAAGCTCGAGATAAGCGTTGAAAGTTTTAGAGAGAAAATAAAAAAAAAAAAAAAAGATACGTTAGAATTATTAGAAAACATTTTTTCTAGTAGATATTAAGTAGAAATTTACTACAACTATTACTTAGAGGTCCCTGGTGACGGCAACGAAAACTCGTAAGAAGCAACAAACTGAACTCATAAAAAAGGCTTTGCAGGCACAAGACGACAAGAAACGTGAAGAAAGGGAAAACTTTTTGATCACTACCATACCGATTACCGTACAGGCAGCATACGAGCCGAGCCCTGTTGGAGATGATCACGATGAAGGTATATATATTATATTTGATTGTTGAAAATGTATGTATTTTATTTTTCAAATCGAAAACATTGCAATAACAAGATATTATTATGAGGGAGTATCGATTGAATGTATCATTTCATTTTAAAATTTAAATCATGGAAAAATATTATTTACATTCGGATTCGATGTGAATTTATTTTTCGTTCAATTGGAGCGCAATAAGCATATATATAATGTGACGCAATATGTATAAGTTATTCCAAAAATATTGGAAGATAAACCGAAGATTTCTCAAATTTCGAGCAACATTTTCCTTTTGTTATTAAAACAATCAATCGAGTAGTGAAGGCTACGAGCATTCACTATGACAAATCCAAGCAACATATGTCAGCAAAATGTGTTTAATATTATAAATTTTTATTGATAAAATATCCATTCGTATAATATTGGCTAATGTTTTTTCTTAATTAACGAAAATTTTTGCAAAAGAAAATATTGTTTGAAAATTTTTTGAGACACTTTGTATAATGTACTATATAGTTTCAAAGTTAAAAATTAGTTATTTACAAATTATTCGAATGTTCACTTATTTATGTGATAATATATCTCTTTTTCTTTATTTTCTTATCTTTCAAAATAGTTAAGATCTCTTATGAATCTGTCTTCTTAATATAAACCATTTCTACTTAGATCTTATTTAAATTTTATAAAAACAATATAATAAGAATAAAGAAACAGATAATTTTGTCTATTTAAGTGAGATTAATTTTGAAATAAAAAAAATAAAATATGTGAATGTTAGGATATAATTAAATGTGTTACACATTAAGTGTACAGAAATATTTAATAATTCGCAAAAATAAAAATATGTCTTAAATGTTAAATATATTTTTTTTTTCTACTTAAAGGAAATGTTGGAGACGAAGATGGTGGCGAAACTATTCCAAGAAACACGTCTCATCATAGCCAATCTGCGCCTTCGTTATTCCCTTCTTCCTTATGCTCTGCCATTGTACAAATAATTCACCTACTTGACGATGCCGCTGTCTCAGATGATGGAAGCGCTGTCTACGAAGTTGCATATCAAGTAAACAATATTCAGAATTATTTTCGAGAGGAATAGTATTATAAGAGAAATTATTTAAAAAAAAAAAAAGAAAAACATACATAACGCAAGTGTGTTCTTTTTTTTTCTTTTTTTTTTTTACTATTAGGTGATTTGGAATTGCTTGGTAGAGGACAGTGCATTGTTCCTGCGTTACGTGTTGGAACGTCTCACAAGAGAGAAGCAGGAATTGATGTTTAAAATTTTGAGGCATCTAATTCGATTCGTGCCAAAATTGCCTCAGCAAGCCGCTTTTGCACTGTACAATTATATCATCGGATACGTAATGTTTTATGCCCGTTCCCCGCACGAGGAAGGACAGAAGTTGATTGGAACTGCGCTCTCTATATTATGGATGGTGATTAAACTTGTATCGAGTTTAAATTAGAAATATAATTTTTTTTTTTGATCGTTTAATTGAAACTAAATTTTTATAGTGTATAATAATAGAGAAAAGCGATTATTTGTTTATTAAATATCTTTTATATTTTTGCAGAATATTAAAATGGATTTTGATTATTATATAATGAAATAATCTACATTTCTGTCAATTTTGTTATTTGAACGAATATAATTTTTAAATTTGGTTTCTCTTATTTTATCTTTCTTATTAATTAGTAATCTAAAAATTCATAGTAATAAATCGACTATATTAAAATATTCAGCAAAAATTTGTCACTTTAACACGTTGATTGCTTATTTGACTACTTATGAAGAATTTTAGTAGATATTCGTAGATATTTGGTATTCCACAGAGTGTAATAAAACTATTAAATTGTTATAAAAATAATAAAAAAATAATTGATTAAAAAAATTATTTAGAATGTAAAATTTTAAAACATTATATATATAATATATATATATATAATGCTGATTATATGCTGATTATATATATATATATTAATTATATATATAATGCTGAAGTTGATCCGTACAATTTGGACAAAAAATTGTTGTCTTCTTTAAAAAAAATAATAATTGAAGTTAGAAGGGAGAAATGAGTAATTTAAAAATATATATTCGTTCAAAAAAAAGAATAAATGAAATATACTTTCATTTTATAATATTATTCAGAACTAGTAATTAATTCATTTATTACATTTTTCTTTATATATTTAACGGAACAAATCACTTTTCTTTAAATAATTAATTTCTTTAAATAATTAATTTTCTTTAAATAATAATTCGTATGAAAATTGCAAATCGATTTAAAAAATTTAAATCAATATAATAATTAATAGATTAATTGATAATAATTAAATAATTAATTAATAATAATTAATATTTTAATATTAATTTTTTAAATTAATACTTAATTAATAATAATAAAGTTGAAATATTCTTATAAATTGTATTGTTGTTTACAGGTTGTGCACAGTGTGCACGGAATCATGTTCAAAGATTTGAAACAAATATTACGAAAGGAGCAGTGTGACGCCTCCATTTTATTAACCGCGAACGTTCCATCTGCAAAGAGGATCGTAGTCCACGGTCCTCAAGATCCGGATGCGGGAGGGATTCCTTCCCAGTTTCCGGTCCAAGAAGACACGCAATTTTGCCAGATACTTCGAGAATCGTTGGACTTTTTTGGCATCGAGGAATCGAAACACAAAGAGTACTTCCTTGTTGACTACAAAACACGTTTGTACTAATCACATCTTCTAATTACTACATATATATTTTATAACTATTTTTAATTTTTTAAAAATTTATGAAAAATTATAATTTATATTTCATTTTTCATGAAAAAATTTAACATGTATAAATTTTAGTATTGTATATAATTCTTATAATTGGAAATATATTAATTTTCTTTTCTCTTGTCCTGTTACAGATAGACAAAAATTGTGAAGAAATTGTGCAGTTGCACTTTTTTTTTCTCTAAATTATTAATTATTTTTTGTATTTTATTAATCGAATTATTAAATAATATTTTATTTGTAGACAAAAAGAAACTTAACAACTAGCTTGATCTAATTACTAGAATGTATAGTGATACCTAAAATCTGAAATTGTTATAATTTAATTATGATGTTGGTCTACAGTTTAAACATTATTAAAATCTAAAATTTGAAATTGAAAGTCACTATGTAAGTTGAAGAAAAAAGTAAATTGAATGAAACTTTACATTCATTCAAGCTCCTCTAGACATCACACTGACACATGCATTCATCACTTTTCTCCTCTGAATCTGTCAATTTTAATTTTAATTATATTTATATAGTATCAATTTCACAAATACTATTTATGAGAAAAAGAGGATAAATTTTCATTGAAAACATTCTATTTATATTTACAGATCAAATTCTGACACACGCACTGTCACTTTTCTCCCCTGGATCTCCCAATTTTAATTTTAATTACATATAGCATCAATTTCACAAATACTATTTGTGAGAAAAAAAGGATAAATTTTCATTGAAAACATTCTATCATTTCAATTTATATTTGCAGATCAAATTCGAAATTCTTCGTCCTACGTTCGAGATTACTACTTCTTTAAGGGTAGATCCCAATTTTCGGAAATCGAACTAGTTCACATGAAACCGGAGGACGCGTTCAACGCTTTGCAACGTCAAGAATTGGTCCACAAGTTCGTGGAAATTGGCAAGGTTTTGTTAACGTGGGCTATATTGAAAAACGTCGATATGGTGGTGCAAAGAGTAGTTTTCCTTCACGAGGAATTGATGAAGCTACCTTCTTTTCCAAGAAGAGCTCTGGAAGCAGATTTGGATTTGTACAAAGGTGGCGAAATTGGTAGGGTGAGTTAGATCGAAATTTATTAACGATTGTTACTCACAGTTGTTACAATTCCAATTTATAATTTGCATAAATATATATATAATATGAATAAAGAAGAAAATATCAATTCGAATCGAATATTGCGACGAGCAAAAATTTTGATTGAGTTAAAATAAAGAAATATATATATATATATTTAATGGCCTTATAGCATGCTATTCTGTTGCAAAATAAAATATTTAAGACATGAAACTTACATGAGGCAACTTGTATTGTAAAAAATATATATTGCATATTATAAGTTACAATTATAAATAATTGTTACACGCATAATAATTGTAATTTATAATTTGCATTAATATACATATATATATATATATATATATATATATATATATATATATAATATGAATAAAGAAGAAAATATCATTCGATTCGAATCAAGTATTGCTATAAGCAAAAATTTTGATTGAGTTAAAATATATATATATGTATATTTAATGGTTTCCCAGCATGTTGCAAAACAAAATATTTAAGGCACGAAAATTACACGAGACAACTTGTATTACATTTGCATTATCAGATTTATAAAGATGTCGTTTAACTCGTATCGTAGTTGCACAAATGAAATGATAGATACCTACGTTTAAATGCAAATGCAGGCCATGAAATCTCGTCATCTCGTTTGCCTAGGAGCTTCTTGGCCTGGACGTAATGCACAAGTTTATGTGGGTGAAGCTGATTGCGAGGATGTTCGAAGCGATGGCGGGGAATTTCGCCTATTCAGGGGACATTCATCTGTTTCTAAATGTTTTAAACGGCGCGGTGATTCTTCACAGCGAGGATTCCTGCATTTTGCGTTATGTGATCGCCACATACATAAACGCTGCCCACAATTTTAAGAACATATTTTCCACGAATGGCTATTTGCTAATTATGCCAACGTTGCTGCAATTATATTCCACCCATCAGACCAACAAATTGGTTACAACTACTGTCGAGTACGCTGTTAAACAGTTCTATCTCATGAACAGAAAACCGTTTATCCTTCAAATGTTCGGCAGCGTTTCCACCATATTGGACACGGATGAGACCAGCATCCATGGAGAGGCGCACAAGGTATTTTCTCTATCTATTTATTTTTGAATGTATAAATGGGTGTAACAAATAGAATATAGATAATAGAATATAGAATAATTCTATATTATTATAGAATAATAATATAGAATATAGGGAATATAGAATATAATAATAATAGTTTTTACTTTACTTTTTTATATAATTCAGTTTTTTTTATAAAAATCTTATCTTTGCATAAACATTAGGAGTCCACTCATTTAAATTGGAAAATCTTTTTTTTTGTGAAAATGAATTAATAATTCATTTGTATTTCTTATAAATTTAAAAGAAATAATATGATATATAAGAGAATTTATTTGAAAATAATTAATTACTTTAAGGTTCCCTCTACGTGCCTATTTAATTTACTGTTGAGTCTGGAAACTCCATCGCCTGATCCTTTGAACATAGATGAATTGGTGAAAGAGGAAAAGCCTTTGAAAGCCATTGATTTTTGTTATCACGACGAGAACGAAATGGTTACCGTGTTAGATTGCATATCTCTGTGTGTAATGGTGATAGCTTACGCGCCCGATTCTGTCAGAGGTCAACAAATGTTGGTAAGATCACGTCAAATAATTAAATTTAATCCTTATATCGATAAAATTCCTTCTTACTTAAGATTGAATTAAAAATATATTTTTTTTCTCTCATCGAAATATTTATTTTCACTTATATTTGGACTCCAAGAGTGCAATTTTATTATTAAAATCGATTTTTCAAAATTTCTATCTAAAGATTTTTGAATTCAAATCAATCACTATTTTTTTTTTTTTTTGCATATCTGCATATCGATTGAATTTCATTACTAGAAATTGAATGATTAAATAATTTTTAATTTTCATTTCTTCATTTTACTTAATCCAACAGATTATTCTGGAAGCGATACTGCCTTGCTACGTTCAACAAATACAATCCCCTACTTACAACAAGGAAGGGAAAACCGAGAAGGAAATAATACATCAATTGGCAGTGGCTGTGAAAACTTTAGTGAATAATTCTGAGGCGTTAACAAAGTAAGTTTTACATTCACTTAATATCCATTTATAATAAAAATAAATTTCAAAAATTTAGTCTCAAATTTCAATATTTTAAAAGCCAATTGATTAAGAATCTTATCTTTTTCAATATATTTGTAATAAATCCTCTGTGAAAGTAATTAAATAAATTTTATAATTAAGGAGATTTCTCCATCTTATCTCTGTTTCGATATCTTTTATTAGATATTACAACGGGCCGCAAAAATCGAGTCCGGAGCACAAAGGTTCTAGTCAACGAAATTATGGCAAGGGACCGTATTCCCCTGGCTTCGACTTCGAGGATGAAACCCATACTTCCAAGTACATAGAACATTCCAGAGTTCGAACCTTCTACGATCGAGACAATGACGATGCCGAAAGTTGTCATAAAAATGAGTTTCGTCGACCGCGTGACACTTTATTGAACATGGTAGGGGATTTCGTGGCTCGATGCTCGATGCGTTTGGTGGAATTGAATAAAAAGTCTCAGGATGGGAAGACGATCGAATTGCTGGATCCCAAATGTCACATAGTAAGTATTTTCCTTCGATTGTTATGAAAATTTATAAATTTATTGATTAAATTAATTTGAAAAATTTTGAATTTTTTTTTTTAATTAAATTTTTAGCGACAATATTTTCTTAAGGATTAAAATATATTTGAAAATAAAAAATTCTTCAGAAATTAAAGAGTTCTCGATATTGGATAGCTATTTTCTAAATCAATATCAAAAAAATTGTGAAAAATACTTTCGAGAATTTTGTCTTGAGATATATATATATGAATTCTAAATTAATTAATTAAATAATATTTTTCTAATATATATTATATTTTTTTTGCGAAAACGTTATAAAAAAAAGAATCTATTATAATTGATTTATAAAAAAGAATTTTTCAAAAAAATTTGAGAAAATCTTGATCTGAAAAGATTACTTCAATTATTGCTTTAATAATTTTGAGAAATTTTTTGATCAAAATACATAAAAAATATAATTTTAAAAATTCTTCTTTTCCAAACTATTACTATGGATAAATTTTCAATTTTGAAAATGAAATTTTCTTAAAAAATTCTATGCATTATAAATATTCTAAACTTTTTTTTAAGTATTTATTAAAGTATACGTTATGTGAAGAATGAAACACACTGTTGCTATAATGTAAAGTAAGAAACTTTATGGAACTTAATGAAACTACAATGTCATGCTTCGTTAACAGCGATTAGCGGACATTGCACACAGTCTTTTGAAAATATCTCCATATGATGCAAGCACGATGGGTTGTCGCGGTCTAAGAAGATATATGAACGATATTTTACCTTCGACCGATTGGTCAAGCGACGATATGAAACCAGCATTGACGAATATTTTGCGAAGATTGGATAAAACTTTCAGTAAAATACATAAGAAAGCTTCTATCAGAAGAAATACCGATTGGACAGCCGCCAGTGACCTCCTGAAGGGAGTTTACGAAACGTTGGTCAAATGTCCTTACATCGCGCATTTTCAATATTTGAAAGCGCTACTAACTACGTGCCAGGTATAATATTAATATTATTTCATTTATTTTTTAATTCTTTCAATGTTATTTTATATCTAAAAATTGTAAATTTAATTTTTTATATGTAAACTAAAGATGCATATGTATAAAGAAATAGCTATATTTGAAATTTTCTAGTTAATTAATTTTCTAATAAAAATTATAAAAGTTATTCGTATTAGTTAAAATTATAATGATATTAATATTATTATTAAAACAATCAATTATCCATAAAATTAAATTGATTGATTTCAGATTTTTTATTTTTGTAATTTATTGTTTTTAACAAAATTTATTGTTATTGATTTTCATAGAAACAAAAAAATAATTACATATATGTGATTTAAAATTTTTAACAAATTTTTAATAAATAACATTGAAAATTTGAAATTATTAAACTTTGCATAAATTCCGTTCATACATTTCAAACATAAATTATTTTACGAATAATTACAACACAATGTATATAAAAGTCTTAATCTAGACATAATATTCCAAAATATAAAATATCAAATCAAATCTTAAATCTTTCGAATATTTCAATCATCAATTAATAAATAAATTCTAATTTACAATGAATTAAACAACGTCTTCATTAAGGTCTAGTTATACAATTAAGTGATTCATGCCTCGCAAACTTAGATATTAAAGAGTTAATAATAGTAGTGGAGTAATAATTAGGCGTTTAACTTTTGATTAATTGGATGCTTTAATTTATCCATAGTCACTAATCATCGGAGATACCCCACCAGAGGATATGACATCAGCTTCCTCGGCCGCCTTAATGAGCAAAATACCTCCACAGCATTTTTGCTCGACCGTGCTCCGACTGATAGCGCTGTACGTCATTTCTCTCGGAGAAGGATACTTGCACGCCATGTTCGCCACTCAAACTCGAATCGAGAATATGCTTCTTAATTTGTTGATACCTTTATTTTTGCGTGTGGGAACTGGAAGGAAAGGTAAAGTTGTATGAGATATTTTCGTAATTATTTCTAAAATTGATTTTTAAATAAGTATTATTTTAATAATATTAATTTAAAAATTTAGTGATTGTTGCAAAAAATTATAAATTTATTATGAATTTTTGAAATTAAATCGAATCATATGTAATTTATTAGTGAGAAATTAAATAGACAATATGCAGACAATTTTTTTGATAATCGAATGATTGTTATTTAGGAAATTATAAAAAAAATTATAAAAATTATAAAAAATTATAAAAAAAATTCATTATGACATTATTGATGATTATATATAGTAAAAGTAATAATAGTAACAAAAATTAAACTATGCTAATTAATATAAATATATTAAATTCGTTTTATTTCTTTAATTTGACATCAAGAAATTATTATCCATTTTTTACTATAAAATTTTTTAAATGGCAAATTGTTCAAAAATGCAGAATAGAAAAATTAACATTAGAAAATTTATTTTTAATAATTGAATTTCGTAAATTTTTTTCATTGCTATTCTTTTGGAATAAGTTTTATTTTGGAATAAGTTTTCATTTCAATAATAAAAAATAAAATACATTCGTTTATGTATCAAATACCATTATAAAGAAGTTGAATGAAATATGAAATTTTATTATTTTTTTAAATATATTTTTTCAACATTAAATCCATAATCGATAAAAATAAAATCTTTAAAAAGAAAAATTGTATAAATTATAAAAAAAACTTCCTTTCTTTTACAATACATGAAAAATAATATATTTTAAATTATAAAAATATAATAATCAATTCAACATTATTTTTTTTAGATGTACCAAAATTGAGACAGTCCGATATAAATTTTGCATTAACCGCAGTATTAAACACTTTATGGCCACCAACTACGAAAACGGTACCAATAACTGCACAAAATTTAAAGACAACGACAGATATGAGAACGAGTAGTTTAACATTTGTAGCGAGAGATTCGAAGACTTTAACCAAAACATCATTGACTTTATATCAAGTTGCTTTTTTAGGTAAGCAATTAGCTCTTGAATATTATTATATTATTATTTTTAACAATTATATCGAAAAAATTCATGAATCTTTACTTATATAATAAGAATAAATATTTACAAATGTTTATTAGTATTTCAAATGTATCTATCAATTCATAAAAATATTGATAAAAATATTCAAACGAGTATAATTTCATTGTAATATAAAAAAATAATAACTAGAACTAACCAATTATTAATTTTAACATTGAGTTACAATATTGAAGTCATTATTGTATATATTGTATAACTAATGCATAAAATAATAATATTAATTTTTCAATTTTTGTAAAAAAAAAATTTTATATCTAATTAGAATTACATATACATTAAAAATTGCATTGAATTTTAGACGAAATTATATATAATAATATATTACAAATAACTTACGTGTCATTTACTTAAATATATCACTACTTAAGAATTTCAGATCTATGAAATAAGAAATGAAGAATAGAATATTAATTATTTTTAATATTTATTATACTTTAATACTTATGCTTGTAGGAATATTTCAAGTTTTCCTTAGTTTTATTTTATAATTTTATATTTTCACCGTAATATAATATTAATTGTTTTTTTACACGATTTTTCACAGCATTGAAGATAATGACGATATGTTTCGAAACCGAACTGAAGACCGAATGGCCAAAAATCTTACGTACAATGCGTTTATTGAACAAGCGAAACGAAGCTTCCATGTATCTATGGAATTTTATAGAATTCGTAGTTACTCATCGTACCGCGTTGTACATTCAAATGTTACCTTTCATCGTCCACAAGATCGGTCAGGCACCAATCTCGGAACACGAGAGGAACATGCAAACTACTATACGAACAAAGATCAATGGGGATACCAAAAGCGTGCCAAAATCGCGTGGAAGTCTGCTCACCGATCTTATACACGAGTTGAGGAAACTAAAGGAAGAGATAGAAGATCGAAAATTCGGTTGGTACATCAATAATTATAAAAATATTACAAATTATATATTTATATTACTTTATTTAAAAAGTGAATACGTGATGATAAATAAAAAATTTGAAGGTTACTTTTCGAGATCTATCGAGATTTTAAGATTATCATATTTTAAAATGGATTAATATGATTTTATGATTTTATGATCAATATGATATTTAATAGTATTGTAAATCGAGTAGCAATATTATTGGTTTTATAATACATTGATCTTGTGATATAATAATGATAAGTAATTATAACAATATCAATTTAAATGTAATAGACATGTATATTTTCTGTATTCTTCTATGTACATTTCATATTATTTTTGTTGTATATTTAGACGAAACACAATCAGAACCAAAGAGGAGTGTCGTAGATATGCATTGTGCGACGGAAGGTCAGTCTCGAACACAGAGATTATCGTTAATCGATCTTCTGACCGGGGATCTTGGATCCAGAAGTCATATGAATCATCAGTCGAATTCGAGCAGTACTATTAAAACAACGCAACCGAGTCAAGTGTCAGCGCCACCAAATGGTATACAAACTGCACATGGTATGTTATTTTAATTACACATTATTAATCTATATACCGAATATTTTTTTTGATAGTACAATGTTAATTTGTTGATGATAAATAAAATTAATAAAATTATAAGATGATCTAATATATAATATCTGTAAATATAAGATTGATATTAAGGTTAAACACAGATTCAAATATTAATATTAAAATTATCAAAGTGAGTGGTTTTAAATTTTTCATTTTTCCAATTATTTAAAAATATATGAATATTTTTTGACAAAATCAATAATGATTTTTATTGGATCAAAAATATCATTGTATATATTTAATTTTTATATTATTATATACATATTAAATTATTAATTAATATTAATTATTTCTCTGTAATAGATTTAAATATAAATTGGTAATTTCAATATTAATTTGATGATAAAATGAATCGTTAATTAATGAAAAGATATTTCAACTGCAATTATTTATTCTTATTTACATTAAATATCGATTTTCAATTGTTCCAGGATCGAGCACAAGCGGAGGTTCCTCCACTCTTCGTGAAGCTTGCGATGGCGCCACTGAGCAGCAAGCAGAACAACAAGCACCAACAGGTATTTCATTTCCTTCGAATTCGAAAAATCATTCCTAAATTTCAAATATATATATTAAACGGTGCGACTGCAAGCCTCTCATAAATGTTTCGCTGTTTTTCTAAGCGATTTAAGAGATGTCTACCACAGTTGGATCGAGCCATTGTCTATAGGGCACTGCGAGGAAATTTGCAAAGCTCTTGTGACGCCTTTTATTTTCTTGTAAATGATTATGAATATTTACCATATCGTATTCATTTCATTCCCTGACAGCGAGGCTTGCCACGAAACGTCCAAGTTTTCTTAATTTTTCTTCTTTTTGTCCATCTTTTTTTGCGTGACTGCAATATTTTCATTTCGAAATTTTTATTATTATTATTACATAGATACTTACAGGGAGTGTAAAAAGAAATATAATTCAACAGAAATATTGTAAAAAAGTTATTAACAAATAAATAATATGTTTATATTTTTTAGAAATTATAAAAAAAAGAATTGAGCTATTTATATTTGTTATTGACAAATATATATAATATATATGGTAGTGACAAAAAATATATAATATATGTATAATAAATATTTGTACAATTATATTTTAATAAATATAATTTTGTAATTTAAGATACAAAAAAAAAATTAAAATATCACGTACTATAAAAAAATAATATAAAATGCACAAGACTATTTATAATTATGAATTGCAAAAGAGTAAGAAAAATTAGTGAATCTTTTTTTGCAAATTATTAAAATAATATTACAATTCCTTTTTTCTTTTAAAATTATATTACAGATTATTAACATAATATATGTATATGTATAAGTATATGCATATTATTTATTCATTCGAAACTTTGTTAATAAATTTTACGATACTTTTATTGAAATTATATTGAATATCAATTCTTTTTTTTTTGTAAATTATTAATAAACAAAGTTCTAAGATGTTTCTCCTTCAAATCAATTACTCTACGAATACTTTTCACACTCGCTGTGCGTAAATTCGATCTCCATTTCGCTCACACTTTTTCTTTTTTCTTTATTTTCCATTCATCGTTCGTCCGGGCATCCCTGTTTGGTCTTATATTGATCATTGCATTGCTTCCATTGCTAGCTAGGGGATGGAGGTAAGCGGATACTAAAATAGTAAATTCTGATACGATTTATGAATAAACGTCCTGCTGGTGTGTACCCTTTATTCACGCTTATCCACACATCTCGTAATTTTTCATTATATTTACTCACTTTTTCTACTTCTTTATCTTTTTTTCTTTTTTTTTTTTATCAAACATCTGTTGCTATTCTTCTTTTTATTTCCATGAACAGAGATTCGATCGATTTGTGTACATTCAAATGCACGTTAAAGGAGATTATGATTTACTTTTCAATTTTTAAAATTTTTTACAGTTTTGCCGATTATAAAATACAATAAAAAAATGAAATTGATCGTGTTTCCTTTTGTAATAAAAAATTTGAATTTGTTCGCTGTGCAAATTGTTCTTTGTTATGTATTATGTATATCATGGATCTTCTGGAAAAACGATTTATTGGAGTGCATATACTTCGTGTGTTTTCTATTTTGTATATATTTTATGTATTCCCCTTTTTCTTTTGTAGATTTTTTTGTGACGATAACATGAAGGGTTAAAAAAAAGTAATGTTTAAATCTTGTATATACTATGTGAATGAAAAATGATACATAATAAGTGAAGATCTGATTTTGAACACTTGATTAATAAAAATTCTTTTATGTTTTTCATTAATCTTTATAAAATTGTTGAATGAGACATTTGTATTATTGTGCATTTGGTTTATATTTTTGCATGATAAATTGTAACACTACAAAATTGAAGATAATCAATTTTTAAAATTCAAATTTATGATATTCTGTTTGATGTGATTTTTTCTTGTAAATAATTCTTGTTTGTAAAAAAGCTCAACAAATATTCAACAAATTAAGTTTAAAGAATAAGATATTTTTTTACCAAAAGTGTATATTATATAAAATATATTTAGATTATTGAAAAAGAAATAATTTAAAAATAAATGTAATACAGTTTTTTAAAATTAATTTTATGCTTGGTTCTATTATTGTTCTATTTTTGATAGAATATAATCTTACTTTCTGATAAGATAAGATACAATTATTTTTTTTTTTTTACATTTTTTTTTGAAACATACATTAAATATATGAATTATATAAAATGTCAAAATAATCAAAAAATCAAATTTTTAAATCAAAAATAAATCAAAAACGTAAAGTTTTCTTAAATAATTAATTAAATTTATTATCTATTTTGATATATCATATGAAATTAATGATGTACATAAAAAATATTAAAAATTTTGATTAAAATATCGATAATGTAGTAATGTAGTAAAAGTTGATAAATTCATAATAGAATCATATATTTAATAATTGCTCTTTTGAAGATTAATATATTTAGGTATATGTATTCTTATTATTTATTTATTATATTCTATTTATTATATTCTATTTTAAAATTTATAAAATAAAAAATTTATAGTCAGATATAGATCTAATGAATGCTAATAAAAATTAATGTGATATTATTATATGATACAATTACCATATAAAATATGATTGAACACGTGATATTTTCGTTTCAATTTTGAAATTCATTTGAATATATAATAAATTATATTGAATTAACTGATAAATTATATTGATTATAAATTGATTTAAAATCTATCAAAAAATATAAAAAATTAATCAAGTGCTCAAAAAAAAATTTGCTTTCATTTATCATTAAATTAATTATGAATTTCGATCATCACTCATTACAAATTTGTAAAAAAGAAGAAACAAATGATGAACTTAATTCTATTGAAATTTGATCTTGAAATTTCAATCGAGAAAAATGAAAATATATAAAAATAATTATTTTGAAAACGAGAAAAATCTCCTTTTCACGGTACATGTTTCATTAGATTATTCTATTATTATTGCTATTTTCTCTTACGTTTTCTACACAATCGTAATAAATATATACTATATACATGTACATATAGCAGTATTTAGACAATGGTAATGTCCAACAGTTGGTATCCTGTTCATCGTTGCATAGTTGTACTTCACTATAACGTAGTTGCTTCGACTTTCTCGTCTGCTTTCCTTCTTTTACTCGACTCATATATCTCTTTGATTGATAATTGATTCTTTTGCTACAATTTAACACAGTTCTTTATCGGAAAACAAAATACAGCATATATCTCATGTGCGCGTGGGCGTATACGTGTGCTTATTAAATATTCTACACTACTTTCATATTTCTCCATCAATATGTTATACTTATATCTTTAATTTTTAATTTTCTTTTAATGATAGAATTTGACACAATTTCTTGGAGGTCTTCCATAATCGAAGCAACCTCGTGAAGAGTTAAAAAAAACACTATTTCCTCATTTATTATCATTATACATACTTAATCATTTATTTCAGATCTTTGTGCTGATTAATTTTTATGTATTTTTGATACAATGATGTGGAATATTTTTGAAAATACTGTGGATAAAAATAAATACTTTTGCTAAGTTATAAAATTTTTGAAGATATATATGTTTTTTTTAAAAAGATAAAATTGTCAATAATTTTTATTTTTATGCTGAAATTTAAATTTTAATAATGTGTAAATATATTTTATATTTGTAATTATAATTGTAATATACTATGAAAGAATTATCCAATGAAATTATAAAAGTGTGAACTTAATGATTAATATTTCATAATTTTTTAATGCTATGAATCAGTTTTTAGATATAAATTTTATATTTTTATCCATGAAAAATTCCATTCATTCATTGTTAAAATTCACTAATTTTTATCCACTTCTTGTAGGAATAATTATAATATTTTTAATGTCTTTAAAAATATAAAAATATAAGTATCTACGCTTTTTCTTTTGATGATATTATCAAAATTTCATTTTTGTTTTCTTTAATTTTCATTTAGCTAACCATACACAATTTAGATATGAGTCAAAAATGATCTGTCTCATCCATTTTTGTGTTTGATTAAAAAATTATCAAGAAAAAAAAAGTATTTTTTTTAATCCATCGTAGTTTTCAAAACATTTGTACCGAAAAAATGAAACAGGATATATCTCCTCTATCACGATGATTTTTCATTAAATAGAAACGATTCAGCAGAATTCATATCATCGTAACGATATTTCGACATAACAAATAACATGGTCACCTGGTATGATTCACTTGTCGTCTTTCCCTTCATTCTAGACGTTAAATGTGGCATGTTTCAGATAGATCCCAACCATCTTCTACTAGCGATGAACGTAACCATGTAAAGCCTCATCCTATATTAACTCATCAAAAGGCGCCAAAACTGCGCTTTCTCTCTTCTGTAGAGTTTAGGCACTCATCAGGTAAATTTCGAGCCCCTACTGTAAATAAATAAGTTTTAGTTGTGATCGACCGTTGGTAATCTTCGATTTTTAAAAATAGTACGTTAGATTTACGAGAATAGTATATTACATTATAGAGATATTTTTACAGAATTGTTTTTCAAAGAGAATAGATATTATTTTACTAAATCTATACAATTTAGAAATTATTTGGTATTAAAAAGTATTCAAGAAGACAATTAATGATGAATGATGAATAATAAATGTTAAATGGAAAGAAAAAATTCTGAAAATAAATATGAAATTGAGTTATTGAAATTTTGAATAAGATTTTAGGATAAATTGATTTAATTTTGAAAGAATATTTCAAATATAATGTTTTAAATATTAAAAATAGCTTTGTATCATCGCTAAATAATTTATTTCGATGCTTATAACGATGCTTTTTAAATTTAAAATTTTCTTTATGAATATGTTATTTATATTGCATTAAAATTTTTGAAAATTGAGAAAATTTAAACAACTTATATAATACTTGCTTATAATACTCTATTGGCAATAACATTTTTAGAAATTGATATTTCGCAAAATTATATCTTTAATTATGTTGTTACATGTATAAATCAATTTTGTATATACGCACATGTATATATCTGCAATGTAGAAATAATATAAATAATAGCTTTAAATTATTTTTTTTTTAGTTAAAATTCTAAATTTTATATATTTTATTGAAACATAAAATTAAATTAAAAATACAGAAGATTTAAATATATTTATTTCATTCATCTCATTATTTCATTCATTGTAAATATAATAATAGAAGTAAAATATCATTATTAATATAACACTTATTAATACTTGCATAATAATACTATTTTCGTATTTCGTTATATTTTCTATATTATTGAAATATTGAAATATGTGATATAAATAATTATTAGCATGTTTAATTATTTCCTACTATCATCATTATCACATTTCATTTCATTTCATTTTCATTTACATAATATCTCTTGTCAAAAACACATCTTCTTTTTTAACATATTTACATTATACTTATCATCTTGATGATAACATATATATACAAAGTAGAAATATTTTTATTTTAAAAGGATTAATATTATCGATAGGAAAAAGATAAATTGAATTTATATTTTTTAATTAAATAATTTACACGTAATGAATGTATTATTAATAACAAAAGAAAACTATTATTAAAAATTAACTATTATTAAAATAGAAATAATAATAATAGAAAACTATTATTAAATTTATTATATATTTATGAAAAATAATGTTATGGAATTTAAGAAAGAGAAGTGAAATATTGAAATATATTTATATAATATTATCTTTTTAATTAAAATGTACTAAGAAAAATCTTTTGAAGAAGATTTAAAGACCAAAACAAATACAAAAGTTGATATACAAAAATATCGATTGAGACTTATTTATTAAGTTATAAGCAATTCAAATTTGGAGATAGAATAAAGCTATCTCATATCTAATCCAAACTTCAATTGCTTATAATATAATAAATAAATCTTAATCGACATTTTTAAATTGTTTTTCTAGAAATTCATCAAAGATATACCAATATATTAATATATTCTGCTATAGGAAAAAGTTAATTAATATTAATTAACAAATAAATTTGTATCAACTAGCAAATGAATATAAGAAAATATAACATATTACATTTATTAAAAAGAAATTGTTAATATGGAATTAACAAAAATAATTGTTATAATGGAGAAAGTGTAAACAAGTATTGATCAATATAATGGAGAACTCTCCTATAGCAAAATATGTCTTTAGCTTAAATAAAATTAGAATAATTGTTTGTGTTTTTTCTAAGAATTTCGAAGATACGACATTTTAATTAAAAAGGATATAATAATAATAATTTATATATAAAGATATTATTCTTTTTTATTATTTTTATTAATTTTCTGATTTGTTATTTTTTATTTTTTATTCTCCTCAATATTTATAAAATATTTAATTTTGATTTTAAAGAGCTTATTGTTATATAAAGAAAATCAATGTATAACACAGAGGAAATTACAAAAAAAATTGTAATAATAAATTATTTTGATCATATCGATATTAAAACTATTTTATAATTATTATAACTATTTCACATCGATATAATGTTAATCCTTTTCTATTGTGTTACTTCTATTTCAAAATATTTTCAAACGATTTTCAGATAATAAAAATACTTGGAAATAATCACTATTTTAAAAACGACACTATTCTATGCTCTGTATATTATCCCTTTTCTATTATATTTTATCTTCGTATTAAATGCTCGCTGTTCTACAGTCCTTCCAAGCTTATTTTTTCAAATTATAGTAAATAACACATACATGGATATAAATGTATACAGATATATTAGATGAACTTTCAATTCTAAAAATTTTCCTCTTTTTTTTTTATTTTTCTTCCTTTATTGAATATAAGCATGATTTTCGATAAATTCACTGAATATTTTAATCTTTTAAAAGCAGCTTTTAAGCAGAATATATAGTGCAAATAATACAAAATTAAAATTATTTCGTTAATTAATAAATTCAATTTACAATATAAAATATAAATATAATATAAATATTCTCGTGCATAATTTGAATTTTTAAATATTATTTTATCCAGATCTATACATTAGATTTAAAAAAAATTAAATAACTATTTATCAAATATTTTATTAAGAAAATTTGAATAAAATTTAATATATTCGTGTACAATTTCAATTTAAATATTAGATAAAAAAAAAATTATTACTATTTGACAAATATTTAGTAGATATAGTGCCATGTTAAGATATCTATATTTCACAAATACAATTGTTACTTTGCTTTAATTCGAAAAATATACATCGGGTTGCAGTGGTAGTTATGGAAGAGCAGCATGGATAGATTGTAGAATAGAGAGTAATGTTTCAGGTGTGAAGAGAATTGATAACACGTTTATTTTATTAGGGGAAACTGTGACGAGCCAACTCAGCCCAACCAGTCCAAACGAAGACAGTTCAGGCGAATCCCGCCCAGACAAACCTCGATTACAACGCTCTATGGGTCAAAGCAAGAAGACTTTCCGATTGAGAAAGAGTCGAAGAAGTCACGTAGAAGTAATGACATGCATATACTTATAGAAATAATAGAATATTGACTTAATAATAAAGATAAATCTAAATCTAATTTTTAAATTCGTAAAATTCAAATCCAAATTTTGCAAGGAATTCTGAAATTGAGAACATTTACTTTTTTCTTATTTTTTTAAAAAAATATTATTTCATCAAAAGTAAAATTTTAATAAATTTTGAATAATTTTTAAAATCTTTCAAATTCAAATTCATACAGTTAGCTGATAATAATAACTATCTTTTTTAGTTTTATGTTTTTTTTCCCAATATAAATTATAAATTTAAATTCAATTGGATTATTATTATGCGAATTTGAATTTTATCATCACAATATTTTCATTAATTATGCACATTTTTTATCTTTAATTTTAAAAATAAAATTTATTGAAATTATAGTTTTGAACGAAATAAATGTTCGAGATTTCCTGATTTACAAAATTTTTTCAAAATTTTAAGTTTCGTTTTCGATTGATCATTCCTACTTCGACATTAAAAACCAAAATCAAATCTTATTAATATTTGCCTCTAAAAATTTCTCCGATGTGATTTGACATTGCATCAAATATATTGCCAAATCTATTAAAATTGTACAATGACTCAAAAATTTACTCTACAGGCAGTGCAAGTGAAATCAGAACAAAGTAACAATGTATCACAACCGCAAACTTCTCAACCATCGATACTAACGCCACCTACGCCAATAATGGAACCGTCGAGCTTCAGTATCCCTTCCGACTCATCGTCTATTCGTTCGAGAAGAAGTTCCTCCATTCGTCAATCTGATTGCGAAAAAGGTGGTAATCTACTCAACGATCAACAACTTCACGCAACGCTTCATTACCATCATCACCATCATCATCATCATCATCATCATCTTCATCTCCAAACGTCGGATGCCTCGTGGGACGAGGATACATCCAGTACGTCCGGTTATCGTGAGTCGTACAGTATGCAATTGGTGTCGCTAGAGAGCAGCAACAATAACACACGTCCAATTCAAGCACCGCCTTTGGCGTCGCCAGACTTGAACGACATGCCCTCGACTAGTAGCACTATGACTCACGTTTTCGAAGGAAGCTCGCCTGATTGCTCCATAAATGGTAGCGGGGGAGAGAAAACCGCTCTGTTAACGGCTAGCCAGAGAACAACCTCTCAACATTCCCTGCTCATGGTTTTTCCGAATCAAGACGAAGACACGTTGATATAGGCTTGTTATGGATATCTATATATTATACACGAGGAGACTGATTAGAAACATAACCTCTAATTGCTAACAAAGTGTCGGTAATAGGGAGAAGTTGGGTAAAAGTTTGTTTGGTTTCCTTACATGAAGGAATATATTTTTGTTATTGTTAAATTACATTTTGAATAGGATTTTGTAAAATATATGAGATATGTTGAACTACACAAAGCAATGTCATTTGACTGTATATATTTAACCGTAATTAATCAAATTATAATTGAACAAAAATTATCTTCCATTATAATAATATTTTATAAGTTGTTGAAAATCTAAATTTAATCAAAAAAATTATCTTTTAAAAATATTTTTAAAAGAATATGAAAAATTAATTTCAAAATCCTTATGGCATCTCAAAAATTAATCTTGCAAAAGAAATGAATCATTTAAATTTGGAAGATTGGATGTAAGTTTTTTCTCTGTCAAAAAATAATCATATAATTTTAATTTTTTTGTTCTTAATTTAGAATTAAATGAAATAATCATTTTTATGTATTATTTGTATATATATATATATATGTATGTATGTATTATTTACAACTTCAATCGTTTGTATTTCAATCTAAAATATGTATCTGTTTTATATATTTATTTATCGATAGGAAAAAATTTTATTTTTTTTCAAATGCACGATGAACGTGCAACGTGAAACGTTAGCAATTAAAGGTTGAATCGAAACACGATAACGTAGAGAATTTCGTAACGTAGATCGATTACGAATTAATGAAAAATTTAATATACAGTGTTCAGAGTTTTCAATAATGATAATAATGTTCTCCGTTGATCGGAAAGACCAATTAAAGATACTTATGTTGAGAGCCTAAGCCTCGTGGTCACGAAATATGTACTTTGTAATACTTCGACGAGCGTAATGAAATTACCGATCACGTGGATGATTAGGCCTAAATATTTGTATGTCGACGACTCTGTAAAAAAAAAAAAAAAAAAAAAATGAGACAAATACGTTTGAAATAAAAATACTTTATGAGAATCGCAATGAATATTTTTTTTATTGTTAGTAGTAATTTATTATCAGTTTGAACATGAAAAATGTTGATAATTATTGAAAATAATGATTATCTTATTGATTTTTACGACCTTGATTTTGAAGTATATCATCATTCTGAATATTTTTTTTATATATAAACAAGACAGACAAAAATATTTTTGGAATTATATGTCATAGTTTTAAACTTTGGAATAAGTTTAGATATTCTATTTTCAAAGTTAGGTTAGATTAAATTAAGTAGAATAGATTAGATACGTGTTATTTTCTTTAATCTCTAATCTCTAATCTCATCTTTAATAATCGAATAAGTTTAATTTGAATTATTTGATTTTGATATTGAAACTTCTAATCGAAATTAAATATGATTAAATTCTATAGATAGCTCACAGATTGCAATTTTAATTAAGTTTAAATTTTCAATAATGTTCTAGTTATTATTTATTCTATTCCATTGATACGAAGATAGAATAAGTGAAATCAAAATTTCATTTCTTTACTTTAATTTTATTTTACAGACTTTTTTTAAATTTTCTAAATAAAAAAATTTTCTTTATTTTATAATTTAATAAAACATTTATTTTTTATATTTCATATTAGAAATTGAAATTATATGTTTTAATATATATATATATTCATCCTGTTTTTCATTATTCATTATTTCACATTTCATGTGAAAATTATATAAATTCTAATATAGATTAATCATAAATATTTCCTTCTTTTTTTTTTATAAATTTTTTTCATTAATAATATAATAGTTTCATCATTTATGTCGTGGTAAATCTATACTAAGATTGGCAAGAATATATGACAGTGCAGCGAAAAGAGCTGTTCCTTTGTCAAGAGCTTCTGAATCCTCAACCAACATAGTATCCGCGTTCGTATGATGGTAATAAAAATATTTATCATCCTGATTCCAAAGAGAAGCTCCTGGTACACCTTCGTTTATCCAAGTAGCGATATCGGGTCCTTGGCTGGGACTGCGAACCTTCATGTTTCCCAGAGGAGAGCAAAGGCTGAAAAAAGTGAAACGAATTGAAAAAAAATGAAATTTGCTTGTCACAATATTTTTAATGAATTAGTTAATGTTATATTATAAACTAACTTCATAATCCTTTGTAAGATACATCCAACTACATCTGTACCGGTATATTCAATGCCCAAAGGTGTAAACGTGCCTCCATCCGACTCCATTACAAACTGTAAGTTATTTTGTTCAGATTTATGAGTTTTGATGAAATCCAGAGCTCCTATATATCCCATTTCTTCTGCTGTCCACATGATCAATCTATCATTAAAATTAATTTTTAAAAAATTCAGTTAAATATCTTAAATTTTAGTATTTTTTACTTTAAAAAATTAATAAATGAAATTAATATAATGATATATTATAATGTACAATAAAGAATTATAGAAATATTCTTAATTAAAAATGACGAACCAATGTGACTACAAAAAGAATTGTAAGAATCAACTTGACTGGAAATATTCATTTAATTTCATGCAATCAACGTAATTGTATATTTTTTTATGTTAATTAATATATTGACAACTTGTCACGATATTGTTTTTTATCTTCACTCATTCAAAAAAAATATTGCTTTTCGCAATATTATTTTAGGCGAAAAAAAAATTAATTCATTTATAAACTTTATATATTATCATATACGAATACAAAATATAAATTGATTCAAAAAAGATTATGAAAATGAAAATATTATTCTTAAATAATGTATAATTTATTATATTGGATTTTAATTCATTCTAGTTTATTAAAATAATTTTTGTATATTATATCGATTGAATGAACACAATTTTTTTAATTAGTATTACAGATATTTTTAATATAACTTGAGTATTATTACTTTAAAATTAAAATCATTCAATTTGAATAGTTTATAAATAAACTTTACACTCACCTAACTGTTCGTCGTGGTCTGTAATTAAGATGTTTCAATAGTTTCACAGCCTGCCACGAAATAAATGCACCACCACCATCGTCCATTGCTCCTTGACCAACATCCCAACTATCGATATGGCCAGAAACAATGACAATCTTTTCAGGATTTGCGGAACCTTGGAAATCGGCAATTACATTTCGCGATATCGTGGGTGGTAGATTTCTCGCTTCCATTTTCAAATTGATTTCAAGCAATTCACCTGAAACAAATAAATACGAATGAAACAAAATAACTCTTAAGAGTTTCAAATCTAAAAAAATTTTTTGAAAAATTAAGAATTTCGATATTCAGAATCATATATTTTTAAAATTTTCAAAAATATTAAGATTTTGTCGAATCATTCGAATTTTAAAAGTAATTCAAAATATTTTAAATCTAATTATTCAATTAAATTTAATTAAAATGATAAGATATTATGGAAGAAAGAATAATAGATAATTATTAATTGTAAAATAAGAGATATCATTTTTCATGAATAATAATGTCAAGATCTAGATGAGGATTAAATTCTTAACCAAGTTAAGAAAATTTGCAGAAATTCAGAATTATTCATATTTATTATCTTAAAATTACTATTATTGATAATTCTTTAAATAACATTTAACAAATTAAAAAATTTTAAATAAAATTTCCTATGTTCTTTATTCAAATCATATTATTAATAGAATGTTAAATCATCATAGAAGAAATATTACGATTAAAAATTGGATAATTAAATTCAACATTATATAGATAATATCCTGCAAAATCTAGTTATAATAAAATATTTAATTATCCAGAAGATTTGCAAATATTTAGAATTATTCATATCTATTATTCATATCATTATTTTAAAATGACTATTATTGATAATTTAAAAATTATAAATAATTATTTACCTCTGTTCGCCATTCTTTTCAACAAAGTAGCATCTTCGACAGTGATCGAGGCCACTGGAATCTTAGTCACATTCTCACCGTACGATTGGTGACCCGTGTGCGGAGTATACAACGAATATGGCGTAACTGATCGAACTAGGGCAGCGACAGCCCCATATTTCGAGGCTTGCGTCCCACCATTATTTCGATATTTTACGGTTTCACCATATGAAACAAATTTCTGATTATATATGACGATCTTTCCAGGTACCTAAAAATGATCAAAGAAAGAAAAAGTAGAAATATTCGAAAGAAATGAAATAATATTATATTTCTATACAATTTTTATATTTTTAAAAATGCATTTACTTCATCTTTTCTGCTGTTCAATTCTTCGAAACTGTCCACTACAATGGCCTCTGCCGTTATACCTTCGGGTGGAGTACCAACGCTGGTGCCTAATCCAAGAATAGCAATATTCAATTGCCTTGGTTTCAAAAGAGTTGCAGATTCTCTTCCTCTGGAAAAATAAATATTTTGATCATTTACTTTTTTTCAGTTGAAAGAATTTTTTATAAGAAATAGAATATTATATTTATTACATATTATCTATTAAGAATATTATATGATCAGTAGGAATAAAATGGTTTCAATGATGAAATAATTTTACCTCACCCAATGTGGCACGGTAACAGGTTCACCGTGAACGTTTTCTAATTCATACTCAATAGATTTATTCAGCACGTAGTCGATGGAACGTTCCAATGTTTCAGAACCGGACAGTCTAGGACCAAACGTGTCGGTAAAATAAGCTAATTCATTCCACGTGGATCCTTTGAACGATCCATTCAAGGCCTCGTTTATTATGGCACGAACTACTGGTTCGTAGGAATCTATTTCGTTTAACAGGCTTTGCGGCAGTTGACATGAAATAACATTGTTAACATTGCGATTAACAGCTGCCAATATTGAATGTAATCGAAGGAGCCATACAACGATTAGAAACTTCGTGGATAGCAACATGTTGTCGAGTAACTTCTGCTGAAAAGATTTTGTTTCTCTCAAATTAATGATATCTAAGATAAACAATATAATTTTTGCGTACAATGATGTAATTTTGTTTTAAAAATTTATAATTTTTAATAGCAAACAAAAGTTGCTTATCTTTTTATATATTAATTATATCCTTATAAATTAAATTTGATTTAAAACGAATTTTTTCAAACATAAATTATCTGAAATTATTATCTGTATCGATTTTATAAATTTTTATTTATGAATCTACAGTAATTCAATTTTTGTTCCTTTCTTTCTTATTTAATAATAATTTTATATGAAGATTGGATTTAGAGGAGATTGAAGAAAATGATTATTTTCAAATGTTTTTAATTATATTATAAACATCATTTTATATATTCATTTTGAAATATTAATAAATTTATGATAAAAAAATTGAAGAAAATATTATAATTGAAATAAAAATAAGATATAAATCATTAGTTCACTTTAAAAATTAATTTTCAATATTATTTTTTGCACTCAAAATTTAGAAAATTAAAAACAAATTTATTCACTATTAAACAATCATATAATTATTTGATTTATTTGTTCCATTTTAGAATTATTCGTTTAATAATATACTTCATTAATATTACATAAAATTAATTTCCACTATAATCCCTTATATTATTATAATATAGTAATTTATCGGATATTTCATATAGTTGGTAGCTCAATCGTAACTGGCATAAATGTCAAGTGATGCACATTTATATAGATAAAATAACTAAAGATAAAACTAAAAAAAATATAAAAAAAATTTAAAAGAGATAAAGAATTTTAGAAATTTAAAAAAGATAAGAAATTTGAAAAATGAAGAAAAATTTTAACAAATGAATACACTTCGCTCATGTATCATCCCCAAAACATAGTATAGATAAAATGAAGTTAAACAACATCAATAACTTGTATATTTTGAAATATACAAAATATATATATTATAAGCACTTTAAAAGTTATCAATTAGTCAGATTGATTTAAATATAGGTTGTCCCAAAAATATGGGAACATCTGTTGAATGAAGATTTTTGAAATAATTTCAAGCAATATTTTCTCTTGCAAAAATTTTTGTTACGGTTTTGTTAACGAGTTCTGGCCAATCACGGAGTAATTTAATCGAGCCGCGATGGTAGCTATAACACTTACTATAGAAGCATTTTAAAAATAGAAGCATAGAAGTATAGAACTTATAATATTTCAAAATAGACTAATTTGTAATAGGCATTAATATTTTTTTCAAATTTTTTGTTAAAGTAAACATTTTTATCTACTTTCTTTTTATTTTCAAAGTATAATTTAATGTTCTTTCTATTGATAAAAATTTGTTGTAATGAAATGTTGTAATGATTTGTTTGTAAATAAAATATTTGAAAAAAATACTTCAAAGTTTCTGAATATTCTTTTCGAAATTAAAAATATAAATATCTTTTGATTAAAATAAATAAATAAATACATATGTTAAAATTTATTTTAAAAAAAAATTAATTTAATAAGTCAAGGATATAATAATCAATACAAATATATTTTAAAAATCTTTTCAATTCGATATAGTATTAAAAAAGATATAGTAGCTCATTCAATGCATTATTTATTCAAAAAAAAAAAAATTAAAATTCTCAACTCAAAAATATTTTAAATGAATTGATATAATTTACTAATAATACGTACGTGCATTACACGTTCGAAACGAACTTCACACGTTGAATGTTCGGAAGAAATTAATCCTTGTAGATTAAAAGAAGAACTTGTTTCTTGTCGATTAATAAGAAGTACACGCGGTACATATCAGAGTGAATCAGGTTTTCTCAGGTTTTTGACCTTTTCAAAGTACAGCATAACATTGAAGAACCATGAATATAAGAAATTTAAGATATATTGCCACGAATACTAAGTAAATTTGTTTCGAATATGTTAATGTATTAAGTAAACCGTACATATGTCGAAATTGCTATAAAAATTCTCAAATTTTATTTACACAAATATAACGATATATACGATATAAATAATAGTTTTATATTTACAAAACTTTAATTTGAAGTTATTTTACTTGTCTAAAAATTATTTTATTTGTTTAAGAAATATTTATTTTATTAAAACTTGCAATTCTCAAAAATTTCTGAAAATTTTCAAACTTTAAGTAAGAATAATATTTTTTTGACTTGAGACTTGAAAATTTATTAAATTAAATTAATGTAACAAAAAATAAAATAAATTTGGAATCACAAATTTAATTACATTATTATTATTAAATAAAAATAAATTTATATCATACATAATAATTCCAACAAAATATTTATGCAAATTACTATTTAGCTTTACAAAAGTTTTGAATCACAATAATATCAAAAAATTTCAAAATTCGAAAAGATTTCTGAATTTCGAGAGATTTTCGAGATTTTTCTTGAGATTAAATCTGTAATACAAAATTTTTGCAATCTCAATAGAATGTTCCAATATCAAAGTAATTCATTTTTTTATTTCCATTACTTTATCATACAGTTCAAATTATATAAAATTTTTAATACCAAATTAAATCAATATCGAACACTTTCTTTACATTTTCTGTTACAATTAGTATTGTAATCCAAATATTGTAAGTCCAATATCAACCACATCAATGTCATTTGTGTCGTGGCAGGTCAATACTGAGATCTGCGAGTATATAAGACAACGCTGCAAATAAGGCAGTCCCTCTATCGAGAGCTTCTGGATCCTCGACCAACATAGTGTCCGCGTTCGTATGATGGTAATAGAAATATTTATCTTCTTGATTCCAAAGAGTACCTCCTGGTATACCTTCGTTTATCCAAAAATCGATATCGGGTCCTTGGCTGGGACTGCGAACCTTCATGTTTCCCAGAGGAGAGCAAAGGCTGAAAAAAGTGAAACAAATTGAAAAAAATGAAATTTGCTTGTCACAATATTTTTAATGAATTAGTTAATGTCATATTATAAACTAACTTCATAATCCTTTGTAAGATACATCCAACTACATCTGTACCGGTATATTCAATGCCCAAAGGCGCAAACGTGCCTGCATCCGATTCCATTACAAACTGTAAGTTATTTTGTTCAGACTTATGTGTCTTGATGAAATCCAAAGCTCCTAGGCTTCCCACTTCTTCGGCTGTCCACATGATCAATCTATCATTAAAATTAATTTTCAAATAATTTAATTAAGTATCTTAAATTTTAGTATTTTTTGTTTTAAAAAATTATAAATGAATATAACGATATATTATAATATAAATATTATAATATTTATTATATTATAATGTAATAAAGAATTATTAGAAATATTCTTAATTAAAAACCATGAACCAATGTGACTAAGAAATTGTAAGAATCGACATAACTGGAAATTTTTCATTTAATTTCATGAAATCAACATTATATAATTGTATATTTTTTTATGTTAATTAATATCGACAACTTGTCACAATATTTTTTTTTTATATATATTCATTCATTCAAACAAAATCTTTTCGCAATATTTTGGATGAAAAAAAAATTAATTCGTTTATAAAATTTATATATTGTCATATATGAATACAAAATATAAATTGATTCAAGAAAGATTATAGAAATGAAAATATTATTCTTAAATAATTTATTATATTCTATTTTAATCCATTCTAGTTAAAATAATTTCTATATTTTATATCTATTGAATGAATTTTTTTAAATTAGTATTATAAATATTTTTAATATAACTTGAGTATTATTAGTTTAAAATTAATCATTCAATTTGAATCTTATTTTATACTCACCTAACTGTTCGTCGTGGTCTGTAATTAAGATATTTTAATAATTTCACAGCCTGCCACGAAATGAATATACCACCACCGTCATCCATTGCTCCTTGGCCAACATCCCAGCTATCGATATGGCCAGAAACAACGACAATCTTTTCAGGATTTGTGGAACCTTGGAAATCGGCAATTGCATTTCGCGACACTGTGGATGGCAGATTTTTCGCTTCCATTTTTAAATTGATTTCAAGCATTTCACCTGAAACAAATAGAAAGTACGATTGAGACAGAATATCTGTCTTTAAAAAAATTAAATTGTTTAAAAACAATTAAGAATTTTGATATTTTCAGAATAATAAAAAGTGTCCCAAAATTCACGCAAAAAATAATTTTAATAAAAAACACAGATTTATAATTAAAAATTGTAAATTTTTTATTAATTTTTAAGATATAGAGTTATGTATGGAATAGTATTTCGGGTAAATGGCCTCTACGACTTCGCTGGCACATACGTACTCTTTTTTTTTTGAAATTTTTCATTTTTGCATAAATGTGAGTGAATTTCGTTGAAAAAACGCTCAATTTCCTTCTCCAAGGAATATAATAAAGAGTTATAAAGTGAATGATCGTAGGCTTATATACCTTAAATTTCAAAAAACTAAAGAAAGGAGTCAAACGGCGTTAAATTGCACGATTTGGGCGGTCAATTCTGATCACCAAAACGAGAAATTATAGGAAATGATTCGTGCAGTAATTGAATTATTTCTCGGGCTATATGACATGTAGCATCATTTTGTCGAAAATATATATCAATCATATGTCATCCACATCTATCTTGCAATTTAGATACGAAAAAATGGATTATCATGTCATGATAGTAAGCACTATTTACTGTTATTATCTGACCAACTGCATTTTCGAAAAAGAATGATCTGATGATGCCTCCAGCCTAAAATCTGCATCAAACAATTGTGAATCCATTTGTTTCTCAACAATCATTTTTGCATTTTCTGAATCCCAAATGCGACAATTTTGTCGATTAATCAATTCATCAAGATGAAAATAAGCTTCATCGCTGAAAATGATTTTGTTCGAAAAACTTTCATTATTTTTAAAATATTGCTCAACAATGAAAATGCATTGTTCTTTCGTGTAGCGCTTCATTTTTAATAATTCTGAATTGTCAGCAGTCACATTGTCTTCTTTTTATCGTTGACAACACTCTACCATACAAATGGCGCAAAATTCAAATCTTTCGTGAATTTTGAGACACACATTATATATACATTTTTAAAATTTCTAAAAATATTTAAGATTTTAAAAAATTTTTAATTATCGAATCAGATTCGAACTTATAAATGTAATTTGAAGTATTTTAAATCTAATTATTCAATTAAATTTAATTAAAATGATAAGATATTATGAAAGAAAGAATAATAGATAATTAATAATTGTAAAATAAGACATTTTTCATGAATAATAAGAAAATTTTTCATGAATAATAATGTTGAAATCTGGATGATGACTAAATTCTTAAGTTAAGAAAGTTAAGAAAAATTGTAGAAATTTAAAATTATTCATATTTATTATCTTAAAATTACTATAATTTAAATTATTGATAATTTAAAACTTTTAAATGATTTTTACCTGTGTTCTTTATTCAAATCACATTATTATATAGAATGTTAAAACATCGTAGAAATATTATGGTTAAAAATTAGATTATATGAAAAATTATAGATTAAAATAGAAAATATTATTTTTGGATAAAATTGAGGAATAGTTGAGGTATTTGAATGATAACATTATACAGATAATATCCTAAAAAATCTAATTATGATAAAATATTTAATCTACAAGATTTGCAAATATTTAGAATTATTCATATTTATTATTTTAAAATAACTGTTGTTGATAATTTAAAAATTGTAAACGATTATTTACCTCTATTCGCCATTCTTCTCAACAAAGTAGCATCTTCGATAGTGATGGAGGCCACTGGAATTTCAGTCACATTCTCACCGTACATTTGCTGACCCGTGTGCGGAGAATACAACGAATATGGCGTAATTGATCGAACTAGAGCAGCGACAGCCCCATATTTCGATGCTTGCCTCGCTCCATTCGTTCGATACTCCACAGTTTCATCGTATGAAACAAATTTCTGATTATAGACGACGATCTTTCCAGGTACCTAAAAATTATCAAAGAAAAAAAAAGTAGAAATATTTGAAAGAAATGAAATAATACAATTTTTATATTTCTAGAAATACTTCATTTTTTCTGCTATTCAATTCTTCGAAACTGTCCACTATGATGGCCTCTGCGGTTATACCTTCGGGTGGAGTACCGACACTGGTGCCTAATCCAAAAATAGCAATATTCAATTGCCTCGGTTTCAAAAGAGTTACAGATTCTCTTCCTCTGAAAAAATAAATATTTTGATCATTTACTTTTTTTCAGTTGAAAGAATTTTTTGTAAGAAATAGAATATCTATTAAGAATATTATATGATCAATAGGAATAAAATGGTGAAATAATCAATGATGAAATAATTTTACCTCACCCAATGTGGCACGGTAACAGGTTCACCGTGGACGTTTTCTAATCCATACTCGATAGATTTATTCAGCACGTAGTCGATAGAACGTTCCAACGCTTCAGATCCGGATGGTCTAGGACCAAACGTGTCAGTAAAATGAGCTAATTCGTTCCACGTGGTTCCTTTGAACGATCCATTCAAAGCTTCGTTTATTATGGCACGAACTACTGGCTCGTAGGAATCTATTTCGTTTAACAGGCTTTGCGGCAGTTGACATGAAATAATATTGTTAACATTGCGATTAACAGCTGCCAATATTGAATGTAATCGAAGGAGCCATACAACGATTAGAAACTTCGTGGATAGCAACATGTTGTCGAGTAACTTCTGCTGAAAAGATTTGGTTTTTCTCAAATTAATGATTTCTAATAAACAATATAATTTTCGCGTACAATGATGTAATTTTTTTTAAAAAATTCATAATTTTTAATATCAAACAAAAATTGCTTATCTCTTTATATATTAATTATATCTTCTAATTATATTTTTATATATTATATCTTATATATTATATCTTATATATTATATATTATATCTTTATATATTAATTATAGTTATAAATTAAATTTGATTTAAAACGAATTTTTTCAAACATAAATTATCTGAAATTATTATCTGTATCGATTTTAAAATTTTTATTTATCAATTTACAGTAATTCAATTTTTGTTTCTTTCTTTCTTATTTAATAGTAATTTTATATGAAGATTGGATTTAGAGAAGATTGAAGAAAATGATTATTTTCAAATGTTTTTAATTACATTATGAGCATCATTTCATATATTGATTTTGGAACAACAATAAATTTATGATAAAAAAATTGAAAAAATATTATAATTGAAATAAAAATAAGATATAAGCCCTTAGTTCACCTTAAAAATTAATTTTCAATGCTATTTTTCGCACTCAAAATTTAGAAAATTAAATTTATTTATTGTTAAACGATCATATAATCATTTGATTTATTTGTCCATTTTACAATTATTTGATCAATAATATACTCTATTGATATTTCACATAACTAATTTCTACTATAATCCCGTAGTTGTAATTTATCGGATATTTCATATAGCTCGTTGCTCAATCGTAACTGGCATAAATAACAAGTGATTCATACTTATATAGATAAAATAACCAAAGATAAAATTTTAAAAAAAATGTAGAAAAAAATTTAAAAGAGATAAAAAATTATAGAAATTTAAAAGAGATAAAAAATTTGAAAAATGAAGAAAAATTTTAACAAATGAATATAATTCGTATCATCTTCAAAATATAGTATAGATAAAATGAAGTTAGACAATATCAAAAATTTGTACATTTTGAATAATATAAGCACTTTAAAGTTTATCAATTAGTCAGATTGATTCAAATATAGGTTGTTCCAAAAATATGGGAACATTTGTTGATTGAAGATTCTTGAGATAATTTTAAGCAATATTTTCTCTTGCAAAAACTTTATTAATTCTTATTAATGTAAAAGTATAATATAAAAAACTGGCGAATTATAAAGTAGCTTAATCGATCTGCGATAGTCGCGTGTATAGCATTGGCTATAATATCTACTATAGAAGTATTTCACAAATAGAAGCATAGAAGTATAAAACTTATAATATTTCAAAATAGACTAATTTGTGTAATTTGCATTAATATTTTTTCCAAATTTTTTGTTAAAGTAAATTTTTTATCTATTTTTTTTATTTTTAAAGTATAATTTAATGTTTTTCTTATTGATAAAAATTTGTTTGTAAATGAAATATTTGAAAAAAATATTTCAAAGTTTCTGAATATTCTTTTCGAAATTAAAAATATAAATATTTTTTAATTCAAATAAATAAATAAATACATATATTAAAATTTATTTTTTTTATTAACTTTTAATTCAATAATGTTAACAATTTATCATATGAAAAAATAAGTCAAGGATATAATAATCAAATATAAATACAAATACATTTTAAAAATCTTTTCAATTCGATATGGTATTAAAAATAGTAGACATAGTAGACACAATAGCTCATTCAATGCATCATTTATTCAAAAAAAAAGAAAATTAAAATCCTAATTCAAAATATTTTAAATGAATTGATATGATTTATTAATAACACGTACATGCATTATTGTTCGAAATGAATTACACACGTTGAATGTTCGAAAGAAACTAATCCTTGTAAATTAGAATAAGAAACTTGTTTCTTGTAAATTAATAAGAAATACATGCAGTACATATATTAAAGTAGATCAGATTTTCTCAGGTTTTCTTTTAAAATACTGCATTACATTGTTGAAGAACGATGAATATAAGAAATATTGCCAGAAATATTTTTTTACTAAGTAAATTTGTTTTGAATATGTTAATATATTAAGTAAGCCATACATATCTCAAAATTGATATAAAAATTCACAAATTTTATTTATACAATATAAATTGATGTAAATAATAGTTTTACATTTACAAAACTTCAATTTGAAGTTATTTTACTTGTCTAAAAATTATTTTATTTGTTTAAGAAATATTTATCTTATTAAAACTTGCAATTCTCAAAAATTTCTGAAAATTTTCAAGCTCTAAGTAAGAATAATATCTTTTTGACTTGAGACTTGAAAATTTAATTAAATTAATGTAACAGAAAATAAAATAAACTTGGAATCACAAACTTAATTACATTATTATTATTAAATAAAAAATAAATTTATATGATACATAATAATTTCAACAAAATATTTATATAAATTACTATTTAACTTTACAAAAGTTTTGAATCACAATAATATCAAAAAATTTCGAAGTTCGAAAAGGCTTCTGAATTTCGACAGGATTTCGAGATTTTTCTTGAGATTAAGTCTATAATACAAAATTTTTGCAATCTCAATAGAATGTTCCAATATCAAAGTAATTCATTTTTTTATTTCCATTACTTTATCATACATTTCAAATTATACGAATTTTTTAATACCAAATTAAATCAATATCGAACACTTTCTTTACATTCTCTGTTACAATTATTACCAATATCAACCACATCAATGTCATTTGTGTCGTGGCAGGTCAATACTGAGATCTGCGAGTATATAAGACAACGCTGCAAATAAGGCAGTCCCTCTATCGAGAGCTTCTGGATCCTCGACCAACATAGTATCTGCGTTCGTATGATGGTAATAGAAGTATTTATCGTCTTGAGTCCAGAGAGAACCTCCTGGTATACCTGCTTTTACCCAATAATCAATATCTGGACCATCGTTTGGACTTTGAAGTTTCATTTCTCCCATACTTGAGAAGAGTCTAAAGGTAAAACAGATCGAAACGTTAGATCTTAGCAGATATTAGAAAATTTGACAGAGTTTTTAAATGAAATTCTTTTTTTAAAACTGACTTTAAAATTTCTTCGAGAATGAATTTTACTTCTTGCGTTCCAGTAAATGAGATGCCCAAAGGTTTGAACGTGCCTAAATCAGATTCCATCACAAATTGTAAATTTTTTTCCTCTTCTTTGTGATTTTTGATGTATTGCCTGGCTCCGATGATTCCAAATTCTTCGGCCGTCCACATGATCAATCTATAATTATTATTAATTTTATATGTAAATAGTACGTTATAGATTTGAAAAATAAGATATTAAAAAAGTTTCATGTTAAATAATTTTATGTGATCGAATTGTGAGATAAATAATTATTATTCATTAGATTAGGTTAGATTAAGTTTTATAAAAGGAAAAACAAAATATTTCAATATCGATGAAAAATAAAATAGATTGTTTATTTTTCAAATTTAATTTGAAAATTTTAATTTCTTTTTTTATAAATTATTACATTAGATTTCGAATTATTAATAATGTTTCATAACTTAGATATAAAATTTAATTTAAACTTGAATAAGTGATTGAGAACAAATTATAGATATAAAAATTTTATTTTTAAGTTTCAATGTAAAATTTATTAATTTCGTTCAATTTTAATATAATAATTGTTAGACTTTATATTCGATTCATGATATTGATTCATTGATGCGATTGACACAAATAATTTTTAATTTTTTTTTCATGAAAGTTTTGAAACAAGTTACAAATATTTTTTTAATATAAAGCAATTATAAATATTAAAATTAATATCATTCAACTTGGATAATTTATAAATCAACTTTACACTCACCTTATTGTTCGTCGTGGTCTGTAATTAAGATGTTTCAATAATTTCAAAGCCTGCCAGGAAACGAATGCACCACCACCGTCGTCCATTGCTCCTTGGCCAACATCCCAACTATCGATGTGACCAGAAACAACGACAACTTTCTCAGGATTTGTGGAACCTCGCAATTCGGCAATAACATTTCGCGATACCGTGGGTGGTAGATTTGTTGCTTCCATTTTCAAATTGATTTCAAGCACTTCACCTAAAAGAAATAAATTATAAATATTCATATAATCTCGCATGAAATAAAATTTTTCTTTTCTGATAACAGATTAGAAATTAATAATGCAATTTGAATTACTTTCAATGCTTCCAATTCACTTTAAAATTCGAATCATTTTGAAGATTAAGAAAAATTTTAAAAATGTTCGTCATCACGAATCGCTTTTATCCTTTAAAAGGATTGAAAATTTTGGAAAAATTAAAGTAGTGATATTCTCTATTTCCTTTGTGGATTAAATATAATAATTGAATAATTCTTAAATAACTTGGAATCTCTAAAATGGCAGAAAGTTCGAATCATTTTGAGATTAAAAAATTTCTATCATCATGAAAAACGATTAAATTTTGGAAACTTTGAAAATATTAGAATTATTGAGTGATATTTTGTAAACGAAGTTCGAAACTCTTGAAAAATTCGAAACTTATTTTGATTATTTATTTATTATTATTAATATAAAATTCTGCAATGTTTACCCCTTTCCGCCATTCTTCTGAGTAAGCTAGCATCCTCAGCAGTGATACAGGCTACCGGAATCTTGGTCACGTTTTGATCGTAACTTTGCATGCCTGTGTGCGGCGTGTACAACGAATATGGTGTAATTGATCTAATTAAAGCAGCAACAGCCCCGTATTTCGATGCTTTTGACGCTCCTTTGCTTCGATATTTCACTGTTTGACCGTACGTAATATACTTTTCATTAAATACAACGATCTTTCCTGCTATCTAAAATGACCAAAAAAAAACCAAATTTTATTAAAATGTGTTACAAGAAATGAAATGCAGTAAAATTTCGAGTAATACAATACTTCTATAAAATAAACTAAAAATTATTGCTTTCTTATAGTGCGATTAATTATTCTTATATCATAATGGATTAAAAAAATGCTTCACCTTTTTAAGTGTGATAATGTTTTTTTCAATTTAAAAATTAAAAAATTTGAATTAATAAAACATAAATTATATAATATAATGGAACTGTTATCTCACTTTATAATCAAATATAATCACTTGATTTATTTTTTCATTTTTGTTTATTTTATGTCATTTGATATGTTTAACAATTGAAATAATTCTATTTTTATTAAAATAAAATTTTTATATAACATGGATTTTTTTGCTTTAAAAATTTGTGCCGCAAAGAATTAAAAAAAAAAAAAATGAAAAATAATAATGATATTATATAATCAAAGAATAGAGAAATTTTGAAACAGAAGAAAATTCAATCGACGAAGAAACTCTGAATGAGCATTCAAAATACAAAGTCTAAAATGTAATTTTAAACCATTTTGACAGTGATTAGATTATAATTTTGCCTGCTTTTTCTATTTTGAGTTATTCTATGCATGCAATTAAACAATTATTTATTAAGTTTTAATTTTCTGCTTCTAATTTTATATGGAAAAAGTAATAATAATAATAATATATCTCTCGTATTATAAAAAATCTTATTATTGTTTGTAAAGAAGTAGAGAAATATATTTACTTTGTTTTTCTTTTTGTCAAGTTCGTCAAAATTGTTTACAACGATAACTTCAGCTGTAATTCCTTCAGGTGAAGTACCAACGCTGGTACCTAATCCTAGAAGAGCAATGTCTTTCTTTCTTGGTTTCAGAAGAGTTGCTGATTCTTTTCCTCTGGAAAATAA